AACTTAATTCTTTAGATCAGTTGCCCTTCTCCATTGTTCACTGCAGAAACAACACTTTCACTTTCCACACGCCCCACGGCACGGCCGCCGCCAACGCCCCTGCGTGCTTAAATGCTGAGCTTAGGGAAAGTAAAACAGAACAAATGTTCTGCGGCTGAGGCGGGCAATCCCTTATCTCTGAAACGTGGGACATGTTGGTTTTGTTGTACTGCGTGTGAGAAGGCCATTGTTTTTATTGCGTGCGCACTCTGTAGTTCATTTTTATGGCTTTCCTTTACGCTGTGTGTTAATAAGTAACTGTGGTGATACGGCCCGTTTCATATCTTGCTTAACCGAAACCTGATTACTCACCTTCATCTGCACGGCAGGCTTTAATAGACTCAACACTCACTTGCATGAGACAGAGCTGGGATGTCTGGGTCGTACAAAGGGCTGTTTTAGTTTGAAATTAGAGTTAGGTTTTATTCCTTCTGTTTTACTGGAAAATATTGCAACACAGCAATAGTCATGTCTATGCAGGGCTCTGCTGTCCACTTCTTTTATCTCTGCTGGAGAACAAAAGACGTAATGGGGCTGCCACGGTGTGATATGTCTAGATCCTGCTTTGTAACTATAGCCTTGCTGTCTCAGTCTCTGGCTAGTAAATATTTTATATGCATAACCTTAATTGCCACAAGAATTGATCATTTGTGTTAGTCTCCTCTCTCCTAAGTCCTCTATTTTACGAGACAGCAATATTCTCCACTATGAAAAATTATTTCCTAGGGATTTTGTGTTGATTGCCTAGAGCTAATTTTTATACTAATTTTGTGGTAATGCAGACTGATGACACACAGACAGCACTATGCCAGCTATGCCTGATTTACAGTTGTATATTTTTCACTGTGTATATGAGCACTTAAATATTTTAATTTCATTTTGAGTGAGGTTTAGTTTTGCAGATCTCTGTTGTTTGCGCATGTTGTGGCTACCGGCAGCCCAGTAAATTGCTGGCATACTGTGATGTGGTCTGAAAGCTAAAAGGAGTTCTTAGTTATTGAGTGGTGTGCTGTTTTTCATAAAGCGAGGGAAGAGCCAGAAAAAAACTACTGCGAGAACAGCAACTGAAGTTGAATTAAACAAGCACAGCTTGGCAAATGGTGAGAAATCTGACACTTTCAAAGCAGAGCTAGACTGGAAAAAGCAAGCTGGGACAGATGGTTAGTGCCTAATTCCTCATGGCAAACACCTCTCTTAAAAGCCAAAAGTTTCAGTCCTTAGTTCAAGTCCATATTACCTCCAGGCCAGAAATAGCAGTGAGTAGCCCATAAATACTGTGCTAAAAGAAATCAGGATTGGAATTAATAACGGAAAACAAAGTCCTGGGATCAGCTGAGTTTTTTTCATGTGGACTAAAGACAAGGAAAGGAACAATACGAGACAGTTTCTCATGAAGGAAAGAACAAGTTACTGAAAGTATATTTTGAGTTTTGTTCAATACTCACTGGTGGCCAAAACTTTTGTAAAAGAAATTGCAAAATAATAACTACTAGATATGTTTGGTTTCTAAAGGATAACAGTTGGCCACATTTTAATCATTATTTAAATCAATGCTTTTTATGCTGTTGAGGCATCAGTCATGGGCTTTGTGAAGGCAAGCACTGCATTTATAAAGCTTTACACATACCTCAGATGATTGTATCATGTATTCAAAATACAAGGAAAATTAAATCAAATGAGCATTTATTTGACATGGCAAACAAATTCACTGAGATGGCACTGCCATCCCACATTTTTCCTCTTTCCAGAAAAAATATATTTAAATGTGTAAAGGTTCATAAATGCAGTGCACAGGAAAAGAAAATCAGAAGTCAGAGGGATTTCGTCACAGTGAACTTGCAGGAAAGTTTTCTTGGATCCGTCAATCCTTAAAACTGCAACAAAAGTAGACATCCTTCTCCTGAACCTCTTTAGAATCTTAAAATTACATTATTTTTGGCACAGTCTTTGAATGCGATTGTAGTAATGTGTACAGTGAACATTACAGCAGCTTTCTTGACTAGAACCCAGATAATGATGGAGGCAGAAATGTTCAGACCCTCTTTCAGCCTAAAGCGTTTTCCAGAGAGGAGTTAATTTATAATGAAAACTATGATAGATTTAATTTTTAGAAGATAAATGATTGGTAATTAGTTACAATAATTTGAAATGTTATAGCACTTTTCTCTATGGATATCAAAACACTTTGCTAAGATGGGTAAGTGTTATTATCTCATTTTTCACAAGAGATAACTGAGACAGCCAGAGGTGAAATGGTTGATACAAACTGTACACATCATTACTGGGTTTTGAATTGGAGTTCAGGTCTCTGAAGACTCCACTGTATATTTATGCAACTAGTGTGAAACTTTCTTCAATAGTTTCAGTTCTGTCATCTTACCAAAAACTCATAGATTTCATTTTAATATATTGAGATATATTGTAATCGTTTTGATTTGTTTTCTGAATTCAACATTTTCTGCATGTCTATTTTTGAGCACCCCTGAGGGGTAAATGCTCATTTTAATTCTTAAAAGAAATTATGCAGAAAATTCAGACTCTGACAAAGCCTCAGAACCTTCAGATGAAGATTAAGTAGGGGAAGTTGACTGTATAATGGCATTAATGGGATGTCTACAATATTTTTTTGATTTCACTGTCTTTCTGGGGGGTGGCATTATGTTTGGACACTCTGCCTTTCCTGAAATACCTGAAAAGACCAAGGTGACACAAAATATTTTTTTCTCATACATATTGTGACCTTATGTCAGAAAGAAGAAATGCATCCTTGGGTATTTATTCTTGCTTTTGAAGTCCAGCTTACACATACAAACCAATTCCTTTTCATACTGGCTATGAAATATTTAGATTTCTTTATATTCAACTAATTAATTTCCTGAATTCTGTAGTATTTGTACATAATTGCTCCCATGTCCATTTTGCTTTTTGTGAAATCTACCAGAAAAGTTTTCTCTCAAAAGAAAACTCACCCCAGTACACTAAAGAGAAGCCCAGAACATGCAAATCTCTCTTCTGCTTCCCCTGTTGCACAGTAATTAGATGACAGTCTTTCCGTAGCAATGTACACAGAGCTCAGAAGTCTGAAAACTGAACCAATTAATTCACCCTATAAAGTAGGACATATTCTTGGATTTCCATACTTGTAGTGTACAGGCAGATCATAAATATTATGTTTGGGAATCTCAGCATTGTGGAGTAAATTAAATTAGTCTAAATTTAGTCTAAATTGTTTGTTGCTAAAGGCAATAATACTAAAAGTTTCTCTTCACTGCCTTCAGGTAAAGAGGACATGTCATCTCCAAATGAACAGGAAGGAGCAGATGAGAAGGCAGGAGAAGGTACACAGGCAGATCACAGCAGTGTCCGTAAGTACTTTCTGCTGTTACACTGATTCCAATAATAAACCTACAGTAGCTCCTGGCTTCTCACACTGCTCACACCTTCCTTTCTAATATGAGTTCATCTTTGGTTACTGTTCTTAGTGTTGTCAAATTTTGTTTTGATCCTGGTCAAAGATGACTTCTTCCAGAAATGTTCTGGGCTGACTGCTATGTCAGTAGTTCTTGTCATCCCGCAGCCTGCAAAGTCTCTCCCCTGACAAATCTTGCTGCTTAGATCTGTTTCCATAGCCATTACTGCAATCAATTTTGCTTTAAAATATTCTTATTTGAAAGCAAACTTCTCCCTATGCTTAATGCTAAACAGCAAGAAGTCCACTGTTCAAAAAGTTTTTTTGTTTGTTTTGCTACAATGGAACTATACTATAGATCTATATTTAACCTGATGTGTATAAATATATTAGTCAAATTAATTCATACCTAAGAGGTCTCAATTGTCCTTTACAGAAGAAAGCAAAAGTACTCTTCCAGAGGAATCACCAGCTGGAGGGGAAGAGGAGGAAGATGTGGAGCACGTGGAAACAGATACAGAGAGCATTGGTGGGCACTGCTATCCTTTGGGGGGATGTTGGCATTAACTTAAAAATCCCACTGCTTTCTGGTTTTCATTTTTTGTCTGTTGTTGTAATGAACAGCATCTCACACCAATGCCATCATGCTACAGTTACAGAGTTTCACGGAATGCTTCCTGCTGGCTTACTTTGTGTACTTCTTTTCACTCTTTTTCCTTGCTAGTATATGACCCCTTAGTTGGTTGAGGGAGAGAAAAAAAAATTAATAAAGGGTAAAAAGCTTGCAAAATGGGTAATGGAGATTGAGTTTGAGGTATCTAACTTGAATTCAGTTTTAACAAGTGACTAGCTGGAATTCAATTTGACAATATTTTGCATTGCAGTCCAGTAAAGAACTTCACTTAGTAACACGTTAGCAGTATGCATTTTCTGAGACAGTGTCTTAAGGTGATCAGCTGTGTCTGAAAGAGCAAAGAGCACTTGCTTTTACTAGCAGTTTTGTGTGATGATGTGTATTTAGTAGCTGCTGAAAAGAGACATTTCAAATACTATTTTGTTCCTAAAGCTGAGACCTAAGCACCAAAGCTGAACTACTTTAGTATCCTAGGCTTTGAGTTTTAAAACTAATGTTTTTAAAATATTTTCATTTTTTCCTCCTCTAAATTCTTCAATTTTGAGTATTCACAGTAGAGCTCTTAAAAACAGGAGGGCGGGATTGCTCCAGGACAAGTTGTTACTAACACAGCATATCCCCATGTTCAGCTATGGAGTGCCTATTACTCTGTCAAAGGAGACAATGCACAAATCCCTCTCTTCTTCAGTTAAGTACAAATATCAGCAAGAAACTTAAGATTTATCCTAAATATAAATATTCTTTACATTCCCACTTCTGACATGCAGCAGATGATTTGGAAGAACAAGATAATATTGAAGTATCCCCAAAAGAAGAAAAAAGTCCTGAGAAAGAAGAAAAGAAAATCCCAGAAACTTTCTTCTATAGTTATGAAGATATATGTTCACGGCCATTTGTCACTGAAGATTCAGGGATACCGATTAACCTTCTTACTCTTAAGTATCCTTTCTGCTGAGGCTGTGCAAATTTAAGGCTAGGTATTTCTTAATTTATGTTGATAAAATTGTACTTGTCTAATTAGGAGTATCCAGTATGGCATTAGTGGGAAATCCTTGGTTGAGGCATTCATAGGAATCCAGTAATGGTCCTGGATGAATTTAATCTTAAACATTGCCTTGACCTTATGAACATTTCTTATTAGGCATAATTTTTACTTTCCTTAATAAATTGTTCTCAGATATTCTTTTGGATATGACTGTATCAGAAGTGTAAACCTGATGGTGATGGATAGTCAAAGCCTACTGTATGTAGCAGGCAACCAAGTGGTGATTCTGGACCTGAAAACTAAATCTCAAAGTTACCTCCGGAGCAGCAGTGGAGGTGGAATTGGGTTTATTGCGGTATGCCTTTCTTCTTTTAGGATATTAGTCCTTTATAAAGCAAAATGGTCACTTTGTTGCCAAATGGGAGATTTCCACAGTTGCACGTGTAAGAAAGTATGGTACTGATTAAAAGAGTATAGTGCACCATGCAGTACAGGCTAACTCAATCTCTCAGTATAACCAACAGAGCACAAATATCTGCATACTTGTCTCAGGCCCACATAACTTAAAGGACTAATAAGTGCTGGCTGAGATTCATGTCAGTATCTATTACATTCTTATTTAAATATTAGTACTCATTTCAGCTCTCTTTTTTCTTTCTCTCCCATTCTCAGCTAATACTGATACAGTATTTTGTCAGTGGTTAAAATTTAGAAAATTAGCAACCTGAATAAATGAAGAGAAAAAGTATCTGGTTTCACTCTAGTGAACTCCTATGAAAAGCTTGAAATCTCAAGTGCTTGATATGGTTTTGTGGCACCTTACCCTGTGAATAGCTCTGCCATCTCTCAGTTGTACTCAATATGAGCAAAGCTTTCAGTATACCAGCCTCAGTTGTTCTGCTGATATAGGCAGCCTTTCATGGAGAATCATGGTGCATCTATCCATCTTCAGAAAAATGTAATTCAGGATGGCTTTTCTACATCTTCCTGTGTAGATGAATGCTGACCCAAACGGTGCATGTGGAAAGATGTGAGTTGAGTGAAGTAGGAAAAGTAAAAGAATGCACGATAAAGGAGCTTATTATACAGTTTCTCTTGGTTCTGAAGTACATATGTGTGATAATCCTGTTTTGTGTGCCTAGTAGTTTCACCACTGCGTGCGTATAATGGCTTCATTCAGGTATTGAGCAATAGACTGGCAGTTGTTCAGGAAAAACATACAGAAAAATGCAACTTAGTATTTACAGCAATATCTTTTGACTAATGAGTGAGCAAATACAATAACTTCACTAGTAGAATGGAGACAGAGGTGTCATTACACCACGAAACTGGACTTTTGCTTTTCAAGGCACACCCTACTAAGCAGTACTTTGCAGTGGGAGAAAAAGGAGAGAAACCAAACCTCATCATCTACGATTATCCTTCACTGAGGCCTTACAGAATACTACGAGGTAGTGTAAAAAGTACTATTTTCATTTTACATAAACGGGCGGTGTTCGTAGATCCCAATAGATGGAGTAGCAGCTCATTTTATAAGGAATTAAAAGTTTTTGGTATTCCATGCCAAAATAGAAAACACCAGTTTCCAGCTTTTTCATTACGAGAGTGGAGAAAGCTTTTATTTAGTAGAAATAGCCAACTTCTGTGAATATTGAGCTCCCCTTAAACAGTTTTTCCTATTGTTTCTTCCTTTTTTCCATGCATGTGTGGATTGGTATGTTTCTCCAGGTGGAACACAAAAAGGCTATGTTTTTGGTGATTTCAACCACACTGGCACTCTGCTAGCCAGTATTGGAAGCAGCCCTGACTACATGTTGACTATCTGGGACTGGAAACAAGAAAAGATTGTGTTAAGGTCAAAAGCTTTTTCACAGGATGTTTACAGAGTCACATTTTCTCCTGATAACGAAGAACAGCTAACTACAGCTGGAGTAGGACACATCAGGTAGGTTTACCAATTATGTTTAATATGTATCACTTCTAAAGGTATAGTACCTAGATGATGACTAGCAGGAACATATCATTAGCAAACACACATGAGTGAGGAATGCTATTTTACCTTGTCACTGCAATTACAAAGCCAAAAAGTCTTTCAGCTAGTCAGCAAAATCTTTTAAACACCCTTGTTGTCTAAAAGGGATGATGCTTGGCATTCAATATGTGTACTACTGGCTTCATTCTTGTAATTCCAACAAACGCTGTGGAGAACTAATAAAAAATATGTATACATACCTGTCTTGTAGGTGTTTACACAACATTCATGCCTCCTCGGCTTTCTACCAGTGATTTATTGAGCTCAGCTGCTGTTTGGGTAGCCAGTAGAACTGGTTGCCAAGTCATGGGTTAGAAAGTCACTGATACTACTGATACAAAAGCTGTGGTTCCATACACTCCCGTCTGTGCTAAGTTCACAGTTCTTTTTTACAATAAAAAAATAGGTGAGAGCTTTAAACTCTTTGGAACAGAGACTAACATTCTGATATGTGTTTATCCAGAGTTCAGTGTTAGCACAGCAAGGACTTAAGATATGGCTTGGATGCTATTGTAATAGATACTTTTAAAATTGCAACACATCTAAAATGTCTTTGAATTTTATAGAGGAATCAGATCAAAATCTGAGATGTGCTCTATAATTCGGCTGCAAGATGGGTCTGAAATAAGAAATTGCTTATTTAGACCCAGGGTGAAAGTGGTTTAGAATACATTATTTATGGAAGTCTGACAAAAAATCTCTTTTATAAACTTTCTTTTGAGCTAAGATACTGTGAATAAGCTCTGACATAGCTTTATAACACAGATATATATTATAGTCTTAACACAAACATATTCAAATCCCAATTTCCAGCACTTAAATGTAATTTTTCCTGCACACACTGTGTACCATCCCTGAGTGAAGTATATGTTTATTTTTCTGTAAAACAATAATTTAAAACAATATTTTATACTGCAAAAAATATAATGATTGACTAGGAATAGCTGTGAAGGTCTAGGGTAAAACTTTTGCTCACTGAGATTTTACAGTCACACTCAAGTCCATGGAGTTATTTGTATGAAAATTAGAGAAGAACTTAGTCCCTTGGATTTACAGAGTTGAACATCATACACTAGAGATAGCAAGAGTAAAATAGACAAGTAGAAGTATGTGTATGGGTTGTATCTGGAAAGATATAGCTGATAATTTAACAGTTATTTGTTTTAAATAATAGTGTAACCTTCATTCAGCCCATGTTAAATTCTCCTGGGTTTTTCTTAGAGGTAATATATGAGAAAGTTTGTGTGTTTACAAAGCTTTATCTCATTCAAACAAACAAACAAAAATATCCAAGGTCTCCTGTGAAAAATAAGAAATGAACAAAATGGAATCCCTGGTAAGATAATTACAATGTCAGAGAGACTGAAGAGTGTGTCTAGGAAATCTTGTATCAGAGAGGGATGTGCTTTCTTTACTCAGGTTCTGGAAGATGGCTTACACATTCACTGGTCTCAAGTTACAAGGAGCTTTGGGTAGGTTTGGAAAAACAGCAGTGACTGACATTACAGGGTATGTGGAGCTGCCCGATGGGAAGGTAAGTCGTAATAAGTTTAATTGATTTTGTGTTCCTTCTTGTGTTTTGATGAAAAGTTTATTAAGTTGGAGAGTTACTATTTACTTCTGAGTGATAGGAGTCAGACCCCCAGTGCACTGCTCTAATAAGCTAATATTGACAGTAATTTGCCAAGGAAAATTGCTTGCTTTGTAATAATTGAAAAGCACGTTTAATATTGTTATTCCCAGACAAAAGATCTCTATTGGTTTAGAACTGAGACTCCTCTTATAACATGGTAAATATGTTCATGTAAAGAAATGGAATGTATGTTAGCCACAATCTTCAATCATTTCAGTGCAGGTAAATGATGTCATATTCCTTAAAAGTTGAATCTTATCTTTCATTACAACTTCTCTTGAAAATACCTGTGCATTGCTATCTATTTAATGCTTTTGTAGTAGGAAGCCCCAAAGTTAAGCAGATTCTTAACCATGCAGAAACACTGGTAAGTACAGTTGCTTGTGTGCTTCTCTCTGTTTGCACTGAAGGTTATCTCGGGGGCTGAGTGGGGCAACTTGCTGCTTTGGGAAGGGGGCCTCATCAAAGTAGAGCTCTGTCGAGCTGGACACAAGCCTTGTCACAATGGCCCTGTCAGCCAGATAGTTCTGGATGAAGGAGAACTTGTCACTGTTGGAAAAGATGGCTTCATTCGGGTGAGTTTTTTTTTTGCTTTTGCTCTGCTTTTAGGTGTACAAATCAGCAGATAGATGTCACGTATTTTCTCTACAGAGCTTATTTATAGAGACATCTTTGCACTGCAGTTGCTTTCTGAGAATTACTTTTTAGATGAGAATAAGGACAAGTCTCCACAGTGTACATGTTTGAATCAGGTTGTGTTTATTCACATTCTGTTTCATTCTGGTAAATGTTTTTTCAAAGGATAAACAATGGCAACATTGAAATTAATTTTCTGGTTATTTTAATGCTTAGGTCATTTATACAAAAATTAATTAAATCTCAGAGATACATGCACTGAAATAGAGGAACAGTCAGAATAAAAAGTACTGGGTGTCCTGAAGTTAACACATAATTCTATAAATTAAAGTAAAAATGGTTTACTTATTCATACCAGTTTCTGATCTTATCCATCAATTATCAAGGATTTTGCAGTGTTGTGTACCTGCTTCTTTAGGGGAGACAAGGTATGTCTTCTCTTCATTTGTGAAAGACCCAGATAACTAACAGGAAGCTGTTGTAGACAGCAGAAGGTTTCTAACACCCTAGTTTTTGTTTTGCTTTTTTAATATTTCATAAATTGATCTTATCCCATTAGGAAAATTAACTTGTTTCTAAGGGTGCCAATTGACATTTTGTTGTCATACCACAGAGCAGAACCACGGGTATGTTACTCTTCCCATTTGTCCTCCATGTTGCCTCAGTATGAGCAATGCTCACAGTAGTCAGACGTCACCTACTTTCTATAACTCTGAGGTTGCTCTGCATAGTGCTACCAGTGCCAGGGCTGAATTTAAGCTATTGTCATATCAGAATTGGACAGGAAACTTTTACATATACTTTGCATTGCACTCAAGTATATCAGATGGTATTTGCTAATTGTCTCACTTTTCTGAATATAACCTGGAATACTGATGTGTGCTGTGTGTCATACTTTACCTGTAGAATCTATCCTCTCTTGGTTTGTCAAGATTTTGAATTTCTCTATTAATTGTATGTGAAAACATAATCTGACCTAATAAAAGCCAGGTCTCTTTTTTTTGTTTTCAAATCTTTGAAGGTATGGAACTTTGAGGCAGTAGATCCTGCTGATTCTGTGGATGAGACAGGGTTATTGGAGATGGAGCCTATGAATGAACTTCGTGTTGGCAAAAATGTCAGTCTAAGTTTCATGTGTAAAACTCATGACTGTGGACAGCCCTTTTGGTATGCTCAGGTAAGATACACTCAAAGTACATACGGCCCTGTGCAGAAAATGAATGAGAGAGGCAGTGTTAATGAATAGCAGTAATACCTTAGAGGTTGGTGCATCTCTTTTCTGTAGAATCAATCTTTCGGGTTTATATTTACTGTGTAGTAATATGTCAGTCTATGGTTTGCAGAGCCAGAGCTGCCTAAGAGTAGGAGGGCGTCAGAATTTATTATTGAAGTTCTGTTGTGCTGGACTGATGGGTAGGATTGGTCAGACCAACATCACCACTTCAGTCATTTCATTTTTCACAGTGATAATCACTAAGGAATTTTTAAAGGAGTTATTGTGGGCAGTTTTATTTCCACATTGAGGTTTGAAAATATTCAGGTTACATGTTCTGGTTTTGCTTCTTCAGGATGCCAATGGAAAGATCTGGAAGCTAGATTTGACTTTTTCAAACATAGTAAGTTTATTTTCTTTTTTGATTTCTTCATTTCCTTTATAGAAACTTGTTTTAACTATGTGAGATGCATCTACAATGAAATTTGTGATTAGTGAAGTTGCAGAGCTGAAAATTTTTGCATTGAAACAGATCTTTTTCCAAATATTTTTTTCCATAATATTATTGATAATCCTGAACAGTCATTATAATCAAAAGTCATTATTGATTTTTGCTTCCTGAAGTATTGGCTGCTAAATTCAAATGATCTTAAACTGGAAATAAAAGTTGCATGTGTGCAGGAAATGAGTTCAAGGATTTCTTATATATTCTATTTAGTTGGTGTATTTGAAACAATTGCTACTGTTACCTCCAAATGACATAAGAACTAGGAAAAACAAGGAGAACATATGCACTTTGTATATTTTATCTAGCTGACTTTCATTATTACTGCTGCAGGTGTTTCTGATGAAGGAATAGATGACAAAGGTAAAATGAAAGCATGTAATTTTTGCTCCAGAACATATTAAAGTTAATGGCAATATTCCCTTTGATTGGAATAAATTTTAGGGTAACACCTAAATAATGTTTCAAGAATTTCATGATTAGAAAGGATTATTAAAAAATGCTGTAAAAAATAAGGTAAAGAATGGACAACAAAAATAGAATCCCTTGGATGATGAAAAAATTTCCCAGGTATTACAAGTCCTAGGCTTGACAGTGTTTTCTCTGCCTTTAGAGCAGCAACTCTTTGCTAAAAATATTAATTCTAGGCTTAATGGAAGTGAGTATGCTATAGTTCCCTTTATTTTCACACTGAGAATGGTGGCATTCTAAATCGACTTCATGTTCTTGTACTGGTTTGCTCATGATCTTTTCATGAACATTTCAGTTTAAAAAAAAAAAAAAAAAGTTGCTTATAGGCAACTCATGCCTGGCAAATTTTATTCAAATTTTGCCTAGATTTTTCATGTTGACTGTAGCTATGGCTAATAATAACTTCTAAGCACAGCTCCAGCAAAACTTCTGTCTTTCTGTTTCACATGGCAGACCCGTGATCCAGAATGCCTCTGCACCTTTCACTCTAGAAGGATCGAGGCCATGAGTGTCTCTCCCATGACATACCTTGTGGCCACTACTGCTCTTGACCGTAAGTACACTATTCCTTTGTTCTTATACCAATGTAGTCATTATTTTTTTGAGATCAATGATGATTGGTTTGGAACTATTTTGTTTTGAACGAATTGTGTATTTGCTCTTCAAAAACCGCTTTACAGACAACTGTTATTCCTGGGATTAGTTCTTTTACAGTTAGGACAAGTCATTAAAGTTTTGAAGTAATACTTTGGGATTGCCTCATCTTAAAAGCCTGGGGTTTTAATGAGAAAAGTTTTTAATGGTAAGCTTTGTAAATTGTTTGTTCTGGAGCAACAGCTGAAAAGATGAGACGTTTGGTTTGAATAATAGCATTCCTATTCAAGCCTCCAGACTGATAAATGTTGGGGTCTTTGTTTTGTAAGGAATTACTTACATTTCTACCATTGTGTAAGTCATTGTGAATATTAACATTTGTGGCTTTCTTAGCAAAAGCAATTGCTATCTCACTCTCAACAACAGATAACATGTTAATTATAGATATTAATTTAAGTTATATAAATATTGCTATTTATGCCTCTTAGTGTTAGCCTTACCATAATTTGAAAGAAGAACCACAAGACAGAATATTAACAGTGTCATTTATTGTGCTTAGAAAACGCTACAAGATCTTTAACTCAATTACTGTCAGCTGTACCTTGTCATTTGTCTGTGTTATACAATATACATGCACTTCTAGCCTGAAGATAAACTTGTAACAGTTGAACAAATTACACTTTGGATATTTACCAGCTGGAATGGAATTTAATGCAAACCAATGTGTGTCTACTAATGTACCTCTGGTGAAATTGGATTTTCTTTGGAAAATCTTCCATTTCCATCCACTTAAATATTTTCCTCCCTAGGCAATTCCAAGTAGTAGTGTATCATCTTTTCCTGTGTTGACAGTACAGATTTCCCTTAGAGTAGTCCACAGTTCTGTGATTACTCAAAAATTACACATGGTGGTTAGCATGGGACTTCTTATTACACCCCTCAGCCCTGACAACTCATGGGGGTGATTTAAAAGAGTGAAGTAAGCTTATGTTTTGTCAATGAACACCATGCACCATGCTACTTCGTAACCATCAATTATGTCTTTCTAGGTGTATGTTTGATACTGAAAGAGAAGAATTAATAATTTTCCATACAGCTTTTTATTCAAATAAATAGAAAATTTTCCATTAATCTTAAATGGAAGTGACATTGTAAGAAATAAATTCCTATTGTTTCCTTTGCATGCAGGGTCAGTGCGTATCTATGATTTCATCAGCAACAGTCAACAGAGTGAAATTCAGTTTAAACAAGGAGGAACAGCATTGTCATGGGCACCTGATGTTGTAAGTTTTTATTTATGTGTTAGCAAAAACTCAGGAAGGACCTACAAGTCTGCAAGCACCAAGAAGAATCCTCACGATGCAAAATATTAAATAAGCTACTGTTAAGTTCATGCTGGAATTTACTGTATTAGTATGTATGTATAAACTTGTGTAGCAGTATATGTCTACAGTGCAGAGTTTGATTTTACTGTGAGTTGTCAGGTATCCAACTTTGTGAAATTTTAAAATCAGATCTCTGTATGCGTTCTGGGAAGTAATGTTAGTTTATAGACTAACAACTTCTGTTGAATCCAAGCAGAGTAATCAGCAATTAACATAAATTAGTTAACACATGTCAAAATGACAGCCCAGAAAATCCACAAACATTTGGAGATTAATCATAAAAAATTGTTACCAGAAATGATCATTTATAGACTGTGGAGTCTATCACTTTTAGACATATTTACTAATTTTAATTAAAATAGTAACTAATTATGTTCTTAAAGAAATGTAGCAAGCCTGGTGGCTTCATTACAGGCAGATTATATATAGAGTGCTTTGGCTGAATTTCGAAGGTAAGGACAGCAGCACTGGGACAGTACACTTGTAACTGTAATTCTGTAAAAAGCCTGTAAAAAGCCTGTAAGTCACACAGGCTTGCAGAAATTCTATTAGGTGATGACCGAAATATTCACTATGTCACCACAATAACTTGTACAGCATTACAGAACAAAATCAGATCAGTTTTACAAAAGTCGATACTAAACACAGGCTGAAAAAGCAGGGATATTTAGTCTCCCTAGCTTCTCTTAAACTCATTAAATACTTGCATATAGATTAAGGTTCTTGAAAGTATTTGAATATCTGCACTATTAATCTAAGAAAATACATGATTCCACATACTTCAGAGCATCTCTATCTCATTACATCCTCATAGTCAAGCTGACAAAATGGAAGTTAGGTAAGTGACATAGATATTAAACTGCCAGAATGGCTGGGCCTCAGGGGGCAGTGATCAATAGATCAGTAGCACAAACTCCAGTTAGAGAGAAGACTCTAGTTGTGTACTCCAGCGGTCATTACATGGACAAATACTCCTCATTAATTACTTGAATACTGGGACAGAGTGCATCTTTGATAAATTTGGAGATGATAAATACTGAGAGGAGCAGCTGATAGGCCAGATGGTTGTGCCGCCATTCAGAGGAACCTGATGTGCTGGAGAACTGGGCTGAGGGGAATCTCATGGAGTTTGACAAAGGAAGAATACAAAGTTCTGCATCTGGGTGGGAATACCAGAGACATCAGTACTTCCTGGGAACCCACCAGCTGAAAAGAAGATTCACGGAGAAGTATCTTGGGATCCTGATAGATTCAAGCTGGTCATTAGCCAGCAATGTACCCTCATGGCAAAGAGAGCCAATGGCATCCTTGGCTGCATTAGGAAGGCTGTTGTTAGCTGGTCAGGGAAGTGATCCTTCCTCTTTACTCAGTGCTTGTGAGACCACATCTGGAGTACTGTGTCCAGTGCTGGGCTCCACAGTAGAGTAAGGATGCAGATTTACTGAAGGAAGTGAAGTGCAGGGTCACAGATCTGAAGACCATGAGTGACTGACTACTTTTGATCATCTAGTGAACAAAGTTGCCATATACCTGCTTATTACAGAGATGATTTTTAAGATATGGCGATACAGGCTCTTGTCTCAAGATAAAAAAAAAAAAAAAGCAGTTACACCTGGCTTCCTACAATAGCCTCCATAACAGTTTCATACATAGCACTGTGCTTCTACCAGCTGCTCACCAATCTTATCCATTTACCCTTGTCTCTTCACACAGCAGTTTTCATTTTAGTCTCATTTCTAGCATACATTAATGTTCACATTGTTACAGCTTGTACATAACATAATATATGTGATGGTGCAGACTGCACCATCATCTAATTTGACTCAGCTAGTAAATCACTTCAAGATGCCACTGTATATGGCTATTATCAACTACATCTGTGAGTCCAGATAGATCCAGCTAAAACACAAGACTGTTTCTGCTAACTCTTCTCTCTCACAGTTTAAGTCTGTCTACATTTTTATCAATTGGATTACCCTCACGCAAATTAGTTAAATTCTCCATAACCTCATATTTCTGTCTCAAGTAGGCATCTCAAGTCCCTGTTGACAGTTGAACTTTACATGGTCAGCCAGACACAATTTTATGCCCGCATCTCTTCAGATATCATACCCACATTCAATGCCAAATATTATATTCAGAATAGTATTACATTATTTTTGAATTTCAAATCTCTCCTTAGGAAGATACTGATACAGATGCCTATCTGTGTGAACCACCTTTTCCTCAATGGTTGTAACTACATCTTCACCAATGTTTCCAGTCTCAAAGCATGTCATCAATAAGTAAAATGAAAACAACAGACAAAAAAAACCCAAACCAGTGAAATAATCTAACCACCCCTCACCACCACCTTTACTCAGTCCTGCCCTTCCCTTTATGGTGTCTTCTTAGAAAGAATAAACAAAATTTCCCTTGTCACATACATGTAAGATGAGTTACAAGTTAACAGCAGAACACGTGACATACAGATTATTATTCTAAACTCCCTGAAGTACACTCTAATTTTTTTCTTCATTCTTCCATTCAAAGGTAAATCCTACAGGAAGTCTAATTGCTGTGGGGTTTGAAGATGGTGTTGTCCGCATTATTGAAGTTTATGATCCCAAAGGACTTCCCACTCTTGCAGAACGGCCCAATATAAGAAATGCAGAGATAAATCTGAAACAAGCTTTTAAACCTCATACTACTGCAGTTACAGCCTTGGCGTATGAACGAAATGGAGAAGTCTTTGCCACAGGGGTATGTATTACTTCCTTTGTTTATTTTTATTAAACAACAACTTCCAAGATTATTTAAAGAGTTAAGGCAAATTTTGGTCATAGGCAATGCAGTTATACTTCTGTTATTGCTGTTGATTTCTTCTTGTACTTCTCAGTAGTGCCAGGGGAAGAGAAGGATCTGTTTGCACATGCTTTGTTTCCTGAAGGAAAGCAATCATGCAGTACATACAATTTGTTTTTTGAATTACTGGATTGTTTAATGTGAATTCTATAATCCCTTTTGAAGATGCATTTGGCTTATTTTTGAATTAGTCTAGTAGTATCTTGCATCTAGTAAAAGCAAGTCCATTTGTACACCAGCTTGGTAGAACACCAGTAGGTACCCAACACTGTTTTGCATTACAACAAGATCAACTGATCAGTTTGTCAGTGTGTCTGCTAGGCTTTGAAATGATTCCCAGTCAGAAAACTGGAAACAGGTAATAAGCCACATCAGAGATCAAAACAGGAAATCCACACAACAGTTTGGGAACATCAGAATACAAGGCTGTGAACAGCTATACCTCTGACATAGCTCAGGCTAGGGCGGAAGACTTGAGCCTAACCTTTAAGTGAGTTCCTGGAGCAGTGGGCAAAAGGTGCCTAAATTGAGATGCCAGGAGAGGCTTGTAAGGGCAACTGAGACTTACAGCTCCACTCAGCAGTCTAGAGGAAGTTGAGCAGGATTATTATTCCCCCAAACTGTAATCATGAAAATCCAATTCTAACTTCTAAGGCGCTTACGAATCCCTTCATCTAGCCAAAGAACATCTGAAGGATGTGTTTTACACAGTACTTAGAATTGTTCAGATGTTTTGTCAGCCTTCAATCAGTAATGATCATTTTTTTCCTTTTTTTTTTTTCCCTTCAGAGTAAAGACAAAACAGTTTTCTTTTTTGCTGTTGAAGATGAATACAAGCCAATAGGATTCATCCACGTCCCTGGGCCTGTGCAGGCATTACAGTGGTCTCCACCTTCTCACGTGAGTAATGCACACTTGTTTGTTTTCTTTCTCTGCCATGTCAGAATGGAAACCGTTCTCTGTACACAGTGCAAAACATGTTTTGCTGCTTTTTTCTACACACCTTTAGAATGAAAGATAGATTTTTGTGTAGCTGTACCTCTAGTTCAGTCACTTTGGATAAATGTTGGACTTTGCATAATCAAGAGCAGTAACATAGATAAGCCACAGAATTTTGTGCAGTATTTTGAGTACCTGCCTTGAACTAGCAAGCCTTTGCCTTTTGCCAACATTAATACAATCATTTGGAGTTGTAGACAAAACTTTGAGAGCACATTAAGAAAATTTTTGTGTGTTTCTCTGAACTTATGCTAAGTATTCATTGTCATTCAGTGACATAAACAAATAGATTCTTGATAGTACTTTAGAAATTTGATGTGATTATGGTAACGTGAATTTTTTGCTGGTCCAGTATTGTTATTTAGAAGGAAGATAGTTCACTACATTTAATACTGACAAAGTGGCCACCAGGATGCATTATAATGCTTTACAATGGCAAACTTCAACTATTATTGATTGTTTTTTGAGAGCAGATAAAAACTGCGCTGGGAAAAGAGCTCTTGCTAGCATGAACTTTATCTTACAGCAGATCTGACAGGTTTTGGTCAAACAGTTACATTTTGGGTCCTTTGCTTGAGGACAAGATGCTTCTTACTACCAGAAAAGTACCCATCATGTTTTTGATGTGTCACATTCCTCCAAGTAATTTTTACTACAAGTAATAGGTCTCCACTGCTAGATGTGAATGCTTATTAAACATAATTCAAGCATCAGAGTGTTTTTTTTTTTCTCTTTAAATAAGCACCTTGGTAATTAAACACTATATGTTTAATGAATGTGTTTTTAAGGATGAGATATTATAGAAGATATGATTCCTCATTAAGGTTTCCATAGCAACTCTAATATATCCCCTGGCACATTTTTAGTGTTGGGTCAGATGGTAATCTCTCTGTTCTCCAGATAGCTTATGAAAATTGAAACCATGTACAGACTTGCATTATAAATTCTCAAAATACGAAATAATTATTACCCTCACCTTGTCTATTCTTCCTGACCTGGCATTTTAAAGGAATCAGCATGTATCAACAATTAAAAAAAGCAAACAAACTTAAGCTAAATAGCATTTGGCAAGATTCCCAGGCCAGTCTTGAAGGTATTAAAGGATTTAAAATCATAGAAGCATACAAATTTTCAAGCATTTATCAAAACAAAAACTCAGCTCCTAACTTCTGGGCCAGATTTATCTTTAAATTTACCAGACTCCCAGTATATTATGATTCTTCCTACTCAATGGTGTTAAGTATAATAGCCATTTTGTATAAGGCAAGGAGTTTTTCAGTTCCTTAGATTTTTCTCGGATACATCTGTGGAGGTCACTACAAAATACCATCTCCTATTTATTTCTATGGAAAGTGTAACAGATACAAAGAGCACAGTAACACTATTTGATAGAGCAAATTCTCAGCTACAAAACACTCCTTTGCAACATGATCACTGCCATTAGCCATGCATTTTCACCAGTGATGAACAAGAGGAAAAATCTACACTAGCAGAAGCAATCCAGTGTTTCATAGCCTCTATGACAGCATTGTTGCTAGGAAAATGTTGCCTATGCAGTCCATCTGTCATTGACCCAAACAGATGAAAGTCAGAAGGTGCCAAATCCAGACTATATGGTGGATGTGGTAGGACAGTCCAACTAAGGCTGGCAAATGTGTTCCGTGGTTTTCAAATTGGTATGAGGCCTGGTGTTAATGTGTTGCCAGAGAAAGAATGTCTTCTTCTCTAGCCTGACTCTGGAAGTTCAAGCCTTCAGTTTAGTCAGCATCTCAATGAAGTGGTCAGAGGTCAGAGTTCATGGTTTGTCTGGGTTCCAGGAAATCCGGGAGGATGACCCCTTTGCTATCCCAAAAGAGAGTGCACATCACTTTATCAGCTGAGGACTTGGACTTTTTTTGCAGTGTGAGCACTTGTGGGACCCAACTTGTGGAAAGTTTGAGCACATCTGGCTCAAACTTTGTGATGTTGCTACCACTGTTTTCCACGTACTGAATCTGATCTTCAGCTCTGTACACAGTTCCCTGATTGTAATCCTCTGATTCTCACAGATGAGCTAATCAAAACACTCTTCATTTCATGATGTGACAGCTGTGCATGGCCATCCAGAACATGGCTCGTCTTTCATGTTGATGTCACCAGTGCTAAAATGCACTACTCATTGCCTCACTGTATGCACATCCACTGTTTGGTCTCCATAAATGTTCAGCAAGTGCCAATGAATGCCAGTGGGTGCCATTTTTTCCTCATGTAGGAATTCAGTTCCACAACTTTGCTTTATCCACACTTCCATGTTAGACCCAGTAGCAACAAAATGTAAGGGAATATTAGTGGGAAGGTTCCACCTCTACTGCCATACCACCAACAGCCACTTCTGATGTCATGGGCCGACATAATAAGATAGGAAGTATAGCTTTCAGAGCAGCCCTCATATAAGAGAAGTTCACTGGTTTCTGGTGTCCATGTAAGAATATCCAATCAAATAACAACAATAGTTAAGACCTAATGTCTCCTGACTGGAGTTTGATTTTGAGAAGGTTCATCTACTTTACTGACTTTTTCCCATTTCTCTCAATTCCATTTATACACCTGCCCCATACTTGTATTTTTTGTATTTTTGTGTAGGTGGCGAGCATGCTTCTCATCCTTTGTGAGAATGGATATGTTCTCCAGGTTCCTGCCCCTCTCCTTGAGAAACAGGAAACAGCATCCACCTACCATATCAAAAATCTGCCAACACAGTACTTTCATTTTTATAGCATTAAATCCCGAATCAAGGTAAAGAAGTCTCCTTTGGAAAAATTCCATATTTATGTTCAGAAGACAAAGCTTCCTCCAGTAGTTTCTACTCTCTGTATTGAAGTGCAGGATTTTGGCTAAGCTTCTTAGAAGGGAAAGCAAGGTGGAGTCCATTTCAACATTTGAAATTTCAAGTTGTTTGTTCGTTCAAATATAAAATGCATCACACTGAAAACATGTTGTGTGTTTTGATTAAACATTAGTGAAAGTGAAGTAAGCACATTAGTTTTTAAAAATATTTTTATTTTGGTAATTTTTAGAAAAAGTATGTTTCTTTATTTGATGTTAGCCCTGCAGCAAATTCTTTTGAATAGTCATAAGGCACTTATGTGGTCACTTTGAGGCAAACATGAAGCTTTTTTTTTTTATTTTCAGCAGTTATCTGTTTCCAATTTTTTATGTTGTAATAACTTAAAAGGGACATTTTTACCTTCTGTATTGAAATCTATGTATTTCTGAATAAAAACTAGCTCTTTAGAAGATGTGAAGAAACAAAAGTGTTATGCCACTTGTCAGCTATCTTTAATTTCAGGAAATTAGAAACAAAGTTGCTCTTAGGCTCAAGAGCACAACTGCAGTGAGCAGACTTTCAGTCCAGCGTTCAATCTACCATTATCCTAGCAGCCTATCTGGGTATTTCCTTAACCAGCTTTTACTGTTCACTGCTTCTGTATTCTGAGCAGTGCATTACTGAATGTCAGACAAAGTCTCATTTCTTGTTATGGCTAGGAGGATGTTGACATTCAGGATAAAGATACTGTGGTAGTTTTCTCAATTAAGAACCACAAGGTTAGCATACGTGTCTAAGAAAAGATTGAATGTATTGTGTGCTGAGTTTTTTTGCAGTTTTATTTTAGTCAAAAGAGAACAATATAAATATAAATTTATACACATGTATAAGACACAGTAAGTCTTAGGAAAATAGAAAATGTTGTCATCTCATTCCTCTGGGAGAATAGGTCAATAAGTTGCAACAAGAATGTTTTAGATAATATGTAAGGAAAGATGTAACAGTAAGGACGGTGCAGCACTGAAATAGTTTACGTAGACCATGGAATCACCATAGCAGGAGATTGATAAAGTGTAGATCAGACAAATATCAACACATACTAGAGTAGGTTCAACTTATGCTGCTCTGGGACAAAAGAACAATCTTTTGAGACCCTTTCCAGGCATTTCTCTATGACTTTCTATCAAATATTTTCTAGAACAGGAAAAACCTGTTCTAGACAATTTTTTGGTTATTTGTTTTTGCTCAAGGAGGCTTGAATGGAAAGGATGTTGTAAAGACTTTATGTGTCCTCCCTTCAGTTTTAAGAAGTCGAGTCTGTTACAGTTTCTCTCTTTTACTGTATGTACATCAGTGACATCTTAGAATCTAAAATCTGACTTCAGCTTTCCAGGCAGTTTTTATCATTTCCAAGAGGATTTCTGCATAAGTAGCATACTAACAGTGGTTAATATTGGGAATAACCACCCCTAAAGAAATGCTGAAGTCTGCTTCTTATGCAGAATGGCTTCTGTTTCCAAGGATCTGATTTAAACACTTTGGAGTGTTCAAATCCCACCTCCCATGAGGTTTGGTTGATTAGTTGAAGGAAAAGATATTTATCTTTCTGTGTATGTAATGCCAGAATCACCTTGAATTTTGTTTATGATACTACTTCAGTAGTAATTCATGAATTGTGTTGGTTTCATATCTCTATGTTTCACTGCTTGTTTTAACAGCTGGAAGAGGAGATTGCACTGAGGGAGAGAAAAAAGCAAGAGAAGGAAAAAGCAAAACTCGAATGGATAAAGCAGCTACAGGAGATGGGAAAGGAGGTGGAAGAAGAAGAAGAACCTGAAGAAGAAGAGCCATTGCCATCAATCTACATACCAGAGGAGCCCAGCCCCATTCTCTGTGGGTTTTATTCAGCACCTGGGAAGTTTTGGCTTTCCTTGGTAAATCCTTTTTTCTTCTTTTTTCTTTTCCTTTTTTTTTTTTTTTTTTTTTTAAAGTTGCTTTGATTGCAAGATATGGCAACATTCCACTCTCATCTGAGTGTCTTCAGAAAGTCATGATTTGAAGCCTGCAGTCTCTGGAATACAGAATTCCCATTGCAGTTGATGGTTTCAATGATCTTTTTGAAGTAAACCAGTAGTGTTAGTCCAATTCAGAAATTTTTCAGTTAGTGTTCTTCATGACACCTGAATGAGCAAAAAGACTAACCTGCTCCCTTTCTAGTAGGAAGTAGAATCTTAACATATTGGCAGGCTGGATTGTAATGCCAGTCATAATTACAGATTTTTCTCTGTGGGTATATAGGTTCTCTAGACGTGTTTTTTAAGCTATCCTTAAGAAAGAGAAATATTATACAGAAAATTGCATCCAGCTGTTTCAGTGTTCTTTCTTTATGTTTTTTCACTTCAGGGTGGATATGACTCAGGTTTCCTTTATCACTGTGCATTCTCATCAGATGAACACCAAGAAGATCCTGAAAACAGGCAAGATGAACCTTTTGAAGTGATTCCTATTGAGGACACTGATGACAACCCCATCCACCAGATCTCCTTCTGGTAAAACAGTTTAGTGTAAAAGATAACTTTGTTATTAAGCTTGATACTTTTCAAATGCTTGAAACTGCACTTGAAAAGGAGGAGTGTACACCACTTGGTCCCTTTTCAATTGTGGGTCAATTCAAGTGTACAGGAACTCTTCCTAGTTCTTTTGGCACCAATTTTTACTTAATGATTACTGGAGAACCATTAGAAGCCTCTGCTACCCTTCTGCTTGAATTGTAGATCACCATTGGTTCTCTTCACTAGTTAGCAAAGAAAGGACACAGCTCTCAAGGAGAATATTGAGGGATCAGTCCATTTCCTTTGTCCAAAGAATACAGGCTTCTCAGGACATTCTGTGAATAGTATGGATGAAAAGGGTGAGCTATTTTCAGAATCCCAGTGTTAGGGCTCCCTGTAAGGCTAAATATGATCTACATCTTAGGAGGCAGGTTTAGTTCAGACTTTAATCCACAGCTGTCCGCATTCTACTTGGCCGCTATCTGCACAAGGTGGAGATTGGGAAGGAAAACTGATTCTCTAACTCTGCACTAGCTATCTGCTACATTGCCCAATTTAGGGCTGAGACTTGTTCTGTGATACCCAGCAGATGCTAGAACATTACTGAGAAGCCAGCTGACTTGAAAAAAAGTATGTAGTAATACCACACATACTTTAAATTGTTCAAATGCTTTGCTGCCTGTTCACGAAGTTGGGAAGAGTCTATTTATTCAGCTAGATTATCTCTTCTTTAGAAGTACTGTGCTTACTTGTTGCAAGTTACATTGTATTACTGTTCCTGGTTTCTTATTTGACAGTACCAGCAGACTACTGATGTTCTGTGGGATGCAGAATGGTGCCCTGCGTGTTTACCCTCTCCAAGATAAAGACCTCTCAGTGAGCACCCTGAAGGCATACTGGTCATTCAGCTTACATGATAATGACTATGGACAGATCCGGGGGATCTGCTGTAGTTATGATGATAGGTTTCTGATTACCTGTGGAGGAGATGGGAACATTTTTACCTTCAACATCTTGTCTCCAGAGGATGTTCACGAAGAACTAAAAGCCAAAATCCCTCCTCCTAGGGTAAGTCACTAAATGAAAATCCCCCAAACTCTCGTTTTTATTGTATGGATTGTTGCATCTCTGGTTCCAAAACAACTTTGAATACATGCCCTGCTAACTTATTTCAGTGAATTAGGCCTATGAAGCTAATGCAAATGGCTATAATCCAGTTCAATAATTTGGCATCATAGATCTTTCATAGCAAAAGCTAAGATTTCCCAAACAATTTGGAAGAAGAGTTCTTGCAAAACCTTTCCTAGTCAAAAGGCAATATGACTGCATTGCTCCTTCTCAACCTTTCATGTTTTTCTCCCAGTACACATAGTGTATGTGGCTCATATGTAATATTCTACTGTCTTTTTCTAACTTGAAAATGTAATCACAGGCATAACTAAAATGAAAAAAACAAAAGGATTTGGCATACTTAATGTCTCTCTTGGATTTTATTCCAGTAGAGTATGATTCTGCTCTGTATGGGGATTCCAAAATTAGTACTGGGAAATGCCAATTGTATAGTTTCTCAATGCCTTTGGTACCATTAATATACAACTCACAAGTTGGACTTTTTAAAATTTGCAAAATAGCATAGCATGATGATGATCTTGTTCCTTTTTCAGTCGTTCACAGCATTTGTTGTAATAATTTTGCAGATGTCCAGTAATCTCTGTGCAGCTGTTTAGCTTTAGCAGGTTTGAAGAGATGACACCAGAACTTGATAACAAGTATTCTACTGATAATATGCAAAAAGAGAGACATATCAGCAACCACACATTTTAAAATTTTTTTGAATGCTTGAATGAAACAAAACTAACTTGAAAGAAGCAATTAAAACTTTGGAGTAAGGAAGTGCTATCATATGCAATTAATTTTGTAATGATTATGTATTCAGTATACCTTAAAAATATAAGTATCAGCATAAAACAAACTTTTAAATATTTTTAATATTAGTCAGTAACTACTGCTTGAAAGATTCTTAGTGAGGAGACAGAGAGGAAATTGGGATTTTAGTTATTTGGGTTATATTGTTCATGCTAGTGGAAATTCTTGACCTGTATTTGAAGAATATTTAGCACTGAAAATAGACTAAATATTATTTTCTTAAACAAAGTGAATGATTGTAACCTGTGGTATCAGAGCCTTACTAGCCCCCATTTTACAAGTAGTAATTAATATGCAATTATATTGCATATATAGTTTTAGCATTCCAAATATATAAATAGCCCTATATAAAGATCTTTATGGTTAATTGCTATTATGCAGGCTAGCAATGTTGCTTAATGACCATCCTGATAGGGAAGTAAATCTTCGTTAAGTATCTATTCGAGTTTTAAATCATGTGGAAGATATTTTAAATTCCATCATAATTAAACTTAATGAGATTCCTAGAGAATCAAATATAAGTCCTCTGAAACTAATCAAGTTAAATTACAGATCAATTTAGTACCACTGTATTCACTGTAAAATGATAGGCCACCCTCATGTCTTAAAGCATGATTTCCTGAGGAAATGCAGCTTGTATGACTGCAGTGTCCATCCATCATTCCTAGCAGCTAACAATTGGGAACTCATTGCACAGTCAGCAGAAGCAAACCAAATGAATTGCACTTGTAACTTGGAATTAGCCTGGGATAGGATGTGTCTTGTCAGCCTGGCAGTTAGTGGGGACAGGAGAATTATATATAATTGTGGAGTCTGTGCAGTGAAGAACCAAAAATGTTATGGGACAGTGAATCTGGGACAAGCAGTGATGTAGAGGTTAATGTTGATGGGAAGAATACAGGACTTCTGCTCTGTCACAAAGAACTCAGCTCCAGTTGTTCTTTTACATGTAAGCTAACTTAAAATTGTTTCTCGTTCTTGAAATGATACAACCTGTTACTTAAGACTTCTGTAGCAGTATTGATATGAAGATTTCTTCTGATTTTGTGAGGAAAAAAATTGGAATTCTATCTTAATCTTTGTAAAAGCTTTATTGTCTGTTACAACTATTATTGTTTGTTTAAAGGCAAGACATTTTTATTTCAGATGGGTCTACTGAAGGAGAAGGCTGCTGAAGACATTGAGGATCCCAGTGCTTGCAAGTAAGAGATGTTTGAATAACGTTGAAAGAGATTTCCAAGCATTAGCAGCTCTTTCTTCAGACTACATTTCTCTTTTTGGCTGTTAAGAGAAGGGAGGAGTTGATCACTCTCAGTTTGGGTCATTTCCTCATTACATACAAAGTTTTTTCAGGTTTTTCCTCCATGTCTTCTACTTTTCTGTGGAAATAATTCAAGTATATCGCTCTGAGACTTATGTAACTTCAGATAACACAGGGTCAAAGCCAAAGCTCTATGATGTTAAAACAATGTAAGTATACAGTAAGTTGGCTTCTTTCTAAGTTACCTTCAGAGATATTGAGTCCCCTTGAAGTTTAAGGCTGTCAGGGAACTCTAAAAGGTTACATAAATTGTAATCTTTCCTCTATTCATTGTGATAATACCATTTCCTTCTTGCATTTTCAGCATTGAGGAAGTCAAGCAAAAAAAGGAGTATGAACGGATCATGAAAGAAGCTGAAGACAAGAAAAGCAAGAAAAGAGAGGAGTTAATAGCTCTAAGACAGGAGTTTCTTTTTCTGCTTCAAAAGAATCAGGAGTTACCAAAGCACATGCAACTGCAAAGAGAGGTTCATTTGCTTTTCAAAAGTCATCTGCTGTTAAAGAAACCCTCTAAAATGTTGATGCCTAATATGTTGGGGTCAAAGATGTCCAGTGCTATGGGCTAGTATACTCAATTACATAATTTGTCATGACTTTTGAATCATGACTGATGATTTGTGCCATTTAAGAAGAGTGTGTGGGGAAAAAAATGTGGCTTTCTTTGGAGATCTGAATAGCTCTTGAAATAAAGGATTGTGTTAATGTTCATGAAACTCTTAACATCAGGGCAAAAATATTTGTTAGCAAAAGCCAACTGTTAGGATAATGTGATGCTGGCTTTTCTGTGTTTCTACAGCAGTATGAGATGGACCGTAGGGTCTTTGAGGAGCTGAATAGGCAGACTGCACAAAGAATCCAATTAGTGGAAAAGGAACTAGCTTGGGAGCATGAGAAACACTTGATTGGACTGCAGAAATTACAGAATTGGTAAGTAGTGCTTTTTTCTACCTCTCCTGTTGACCTTGCCACGGGGCTTATTGTTGCACAAAGTAGAAAAATTTGGGTGTTGTTTTTTTTTCACTTACAGAGTCAAAATTTTTTTTCTTTATTAATGATTCAGTCCTTATTTGACTTGAAAAATACACAAGAGTATATATTGATATTTGAATGTGCTTCCTTCTTTTGAATCTCTGGTCAAAATTCAGATATGCAAATTGAGGAAGTGTCTTAATTCCAATTTATCTCTATATGAAGAAAAACAGTCTTTTTTGGGGGGAGGCAATAAGTTTGCTTGGGATTTTGCCAGTAAGGGGAGTAAGACTCTGGAACTCTTATTGGAACTATGAAGACCAACCTATGAAATGAACCCATTTTTTAGGTATGCTGCATGTCTGTCAGTGTCACTGCTAGAACAGTGTTCTCTACACACCTTAAAGTTATAACATGAGCTTCCTCAAGAACAGAAGTTTAAGTGCAAGATTCATTTTTGGTCTATCTTCTTATGGCAAAAGATGAATTCATAACAGTAAATCCACAACAGAAATAATACACAATAACAAAGATACCTTAGTCACACTTAGTGTATGACTGCATAAGAGGTGAATGAATATATTTATTTTTAACCACCCTTTAATGAAAGATGACACTTACTCATGAAGAACCTGGTGTAAGTTTTGATATTGGGAACAGTGTTAATGCATTTATTCTTGAGCATCTCTATTCCTAGACTGGATAAAAGTCAATAGATGATGTCACATGTCATCATGCTCTTACTTAGTCACTACATTGATATGTATTTATATGTAATAATTGTATATGTACTAAGTAAATTGCATTACTCAGGTCCTTTTTGTGAAGGAAAAATGGTAGGTTGCACCTACTGGCATCAGACAGTTTTGTCTAATTTGACTTTTTAGGTTTCGAGACTCACTGGAATTTGAAACTGTTGTTGTTCATGCTATTCAAAGCAATCATCAGATTTCCACCTATAGACTTGTAGCAGTCTCTGAGAAGTACTACCAAGATAAGGAACGTCCATCTTGGAAGAAGACAGTACTTAAACGGGCATGGAAAAAAGAGAAAAAAAAGGAGATCACCAGAGATAGAAAGCGTAAGCATAGGGCTAATTATGACCTTTTGCAGATTAACAGTAGTAAGTTTTTGTCTTTCATTTCTGTTCATTTTCCTGAGTCCAGGCTAAAGAAATGATAATTTCTCTAGATACAGATAAAGAAATATAACTACAGTATGGTTTTTAGTACCTACATACATACAGTGCTTTCTACATTTAAGCCAATGTCAGCAATCGGTTATCAACCCAGTGGGAAGAACTTGACTGAGTCATCTCAGAGAACTTGAATGTGTTCAGAACATCCACTGCAGTGGAACTGCCTTGATCAACACCAGCCTAACAGGAGCATTCCCAGGAGATTCCTGATAGTTTAGAATATACTATGTTGCATGATATTTACATCTTCACGTGATTATTTTTTGTTTCAAAAGCTAAAATTATCAAGGAGGAAGCTGATAAACTGATGTCAAAGATCCAAAAGCCAACAACACGTTTCATAGAAAGAAAACGTGAGCAAATCAGAAGACTTGTTGAGAAATCTGACAAGGAGAAAGCTAAGATAATGAAGAGGAAGGAGGAGTGGGAAAAACTGTGAGTCTTTAATTGGACTCTGAGTCCTTTTAGTTCTGCTTCTTGTCAGGTGTTCTTGTTTAGCTGTCATACAGCACTATCATATCTCTGCCCAGTTTCCTATGTTCCTGATGGATGTAATTAAAATATATAAGTCTTTTTATACCTCAGAGTGTCAAGAGACAATTAAAACCTTTCAGTTATTTTCCATGGTTCTTCTAAAACATTTAAAAAAATGAGTTCAGCTAGGTAAATGCATCTTCAGATAGGGCTTAAGAGGTATAAATCAATCATGACCTAGTGAAATGTGAACTGTTAGCCTCCTCAGTTAACCCTTCTCTCACCATATATACCACACACTGCAACAGCTGTGGGTTAAGTTAGTTGCACTTCAAGGCTACTAGCAGAAAATGGAACCAATGTAAAGTCAGAGCACAAAGCTTTTAAGGTTACTGAAGATTTGATAACATAGGATCAGACATTCTGTGCTGCACACTGATAGACTTTAAGATAAAAAACATACAGATATACAAAACAGGGCCGTTTTGTACCTTCTGTCTTGAAGTTCGGCTTTCCTTTGTACCTACCAGATATAAAAGCAAGCCTAGGGATGACTATGAGGATCCCGGAGATGTTCAGGCCATCAAAGAAGCGCAGGAAAACATGGGGTATTACAAGCTGAAAACTGCCACTAATTACAGAGTCACCCAGTATATGAGCACTGAAAAGAAGACGATGCAGCTTGCATCCCTGGAAGTGCTGGTATGTGAACTGTTTCACCAATGTGGGTATTTTTCTTTTTTCACAGGAGGGAGGATAGTTTAATAGTCACTGAACCAATCCAGGATAACACTCAGCTAGCTCTTTTTAAGCAAAGAAGTTACCTTTTTCAGCTATTTCAGCAGGAACATGTATTCTTTAATTCTTAAAGTCTCACTATCTAGTGACCAATATGCTTTCCTTATAACACTGAGCTAAATAATCCCTATCATGAAATGTTTTTACAAAAACAGGGATGTGAGCAGGAGCAGGTCTTTTTAGCATAATGTCTTCATATTGCACTTGAACAATAAATCACTAAGAACTAAGTATTGGAATCTTCCTGGGAAATGGTGTTTTGGAGCCACCTTCCTGTATCAGGACTCCTACAGCTATTAATGTCTTTTCACCACAAAGGCCCAGTATCTCAGATGTTTAATGTATCATTATTGCTTTTCTTGTGACTTCTACTGCCCCCTTCTACTCATAAGAACTGTTTTACATTGTACTGTGGTGACAATGTTACTGGATATCATAGAATCACAAAATGGCCAGGGTTGAAAAGGACGACAATGATCATCTAGTTTCAACCCCCCTGCTGTGTGCAGGGTCGCCAACCAGCAGACCAGGCTGCCCAGAGCCACATCCAGTCTGATCTTGAATGCCTTCAGGGATGAGGCATCCACAGCCTCCTTGGGCAACCTGTTCCAGTGTGTCACCACCCTCTGAGTGAAGAACTTTCTCCTAATACCTAACCTAAACCTCCCCTGTCTTAGTTTTAAACCATTCCCTCTTGTCCTATCACTACACACCGATGTAATCAGCCGTACCCCCTCCTGTTTATACACTCACTTCAAGTACTGGAAGGTCACAATGAGGTCTCCTTGGAGCCTTCTCTTCTCCAAGCTAAACAAGCCCAGTTCCCTCAACCTTTCCTCATAGGAGAGGTGCTCCAACCCTCTGATCATGTTAGTGGCCCTCCTCTGGACCTGTTCCAAGAGCTTCACGTCTTTCTTGTGCTGGGGCCTCCAGACCCAGACACAGTACTCCACATGGGACCTCACAAAAACTGAGTAGAAGGGGTCAATCACCTCCTTCTCCCTGCTGGCCACCCCTTTTTTAATGCAGCCCAGAGCACAGTTGGCCTTATGGGCTGCAAGTGCACACTGCTGGCTTGTCCAGCTTCTTGTCCTTCTCTGCAGGGCTGCTTTCAAGGAGATCTTCTCCCAGTTTGTATAAATACCTGGGATTTCCCTGGCCCAAATGCAGCACCTTGCATTTGGCCTTGTTAAACCTCATTAGGTTCTTATGGGCCCACTTCTCCAGCCTGTCCAGGACCCTGTGGATGGCTTCTCTTCCCCCTGCTGTGTCATCTGTACCCCTCAGCTTGGTGTCATCTGTGAACTTGCTGAGGGTGCACTCAATGCCATCATCTATGTCATTGATGAAGATGTTGAAGAGCACTGGTCCCAAGAGCGACCTCTGGGGGACAGCACTCGTGACTGGCCTCCACCCAGACATGGAACCATTGATCACAACACTTTATCTGCATCCAGCCAACCAATTCTTAATCCACCAAACAGTCAATCCTTCAAATCCATACCTCTCCAATTTAGAGAGAAGGATGGTGGTGAGGGACCATGTCAAAGGCTTTGCAGAAGTCCAGGAAGATGACATCCGTTGCTCTTCCGTCATCCATCAAAGCCATCACTCCATCATAGAAGGCCACCAGATTGGTCAGGCAAGATCTGTCAGGAACCACATCAGCTATCTCTTTCAGAATGCTATCCCAGCTATCTCTGGGATGGATATCATCTGGCTACATCTGGACTTATATACATTCAGTCTCATGAGGAGGTCTTGGACTTGTTCGACTGTTACAGTGGGATGGAATCCACTCCCCACACACCTAGAGGTTCAGGGTCCTGGCAGATACGGGAAGCCTGACCACCAGTGAAGAGTGAGGCAGAACACTCACTGAGTACCTCAGCTTTTTCTGTATCTGAGGAAACCAGCTCTCCATTGCTTTTTATTGGAGGGGAAACACTCTCCTTGGCCTGTCTCCTCCCATCTATGTACCTATAGAACCTCTTGTTATTTTTCATATTACTCGCCAAGTTCAGTTCCATCTGTGCCTTTGCTTTCCTAATCCTGTCTCTACACACAAGGACAACAGCCCTGTATTCCTCCCAGGCTACACAACCCTGTTTCCACTTCCTGTACATTTCTCTCTTTTTCATCAGTTTAAGCTGCAGGTCCTTGCTCAGGCATGCTGTTCACCTGCCTCTCCTGCTCAACTTCTTCTGCTGGGAGACGGAGAGCTGTTGCACTCTCAGAAGGGTGTCCTTAAAGAGCTGCCAGCTCTGTTCTGTACCCGTGTCCTTAAGGAGAGTTTCCCAGGGGATCCCATCCAGCAATTCCTCGAGCAGCCAGAAGTTTTCTCTCCTGAAACTCAGGCCTGCATTCTTCAAGATCACAAACTCCACCAGGACATGGTCACTACAGCCCAGACTGCTTTCAATTTTCTTCTCTAATGCTTCTCTAATGCTCTCCTTCGCATTGGTGAGCACCAGATCCAGAAGGGTTTCACCTCAGGTTGGTCCATCTAATACCTGGACTAGGAAGTTATCCTCAGCAGACTCCAGGAATCTCCTGGATTGTCTGCCACCCACCATGCTGCTATCCCAGAAGATATCCAGATCGTTGAAATCCCCCATCAGGACAAGAGCCTGGGAGCACGACACTTCCTGCAGCTGAAGCAAGAAGGCCTCGTCAAGGGGTTCCCCCTGACCAGGTGGCCTGTAGCAGACCCCAACCACTAGATGCCCTTTACTGAACGATCCTTGATTTTAGCCCACAAGCTCTCAACCTGATGGCTGTTTCTCAGACACGGCTCTTTGCAATCTATCCACTTCCTAACATAGAAGGCAACTTCCCCACACCTCCTATCCTGTCTATCCCTTCTGAAAATCCTGTAGCTTTCAATCAGAGTTCCAACTGTGGGGCTCATCCCACTATGTTTCCGTGATAGTCATTAGGTCATACTTTCCCAATTGCACCACGGTTTCTAGCTCCTCCTGTTTATTTCCCACACTGTGTACACTGGTATAGAGGCACTTCAGTTTGGCTGTTGGCCTCATTGAGTTCTCAGAGGAGCTTTCCCTAATACCTCCAGGACAAGTCTGGGTAGTTAACTCAGTAGGACAATGCAAGTAAAAATGAATGCAAGTATGAACAATGCAAGTAGGACAATGCAAATAAAAATGAATAGTTCTAGTTATAAATCTAAGGTTTATATAGGTGAAGAATTCTAGTTACTTCAGATGATTGCTGTATAAGATTGTTATTTTTTTATAAAGATCAGAGAAGTTTCAGCCACGTGTATTAATGTTAAATCTCATTCCATTTTTATTTCATATGAAATGAGAAAATCAGTGCAGTGTCTCTATCACAGTAGAGTCACAGAATGGCTAAAGTTGGAAGGAACCTCTGAAGGTCATCCAATCCAACCCACCTGCTCAAGCAAGGACACCCAGAACAGGCTGTCCAAAATCATGTCAGAGTGGCTTTTGAAGATCTCCAAGGATAGGTGTCCACCATTTCTCCCAGTGTTATATTTTCAGCAAACTTGCTGAGGGAACACTGCCCAATCATGCAGATCACTGATGATGATGCTCAATGTAGTTATTATTACTGGATTCTGAATACAGAATTATTGAGGTTCTGCCTGCAGGAGAAGCAGGATGCAAAAAAACTGTAACAAGTTTTGCTGCACTTGGCAGTTTAATTCACAATTCTTACATGTAAGTGTCACTTCTCACATTAGTGGATCTTCATCTTGAGTTGGGGAAAATTATTCAGCTAATGCCAAAGTTTTCTGAATTGACTTTGGTAATCTGGATTACTGTAAAGTCTGGATAGGATTTGTTTTGAATTTATATTGGCTTTTTATTAAATCCAGAAGCATCTGACTTTCGCTTTCTTATCTTTAATTTTGCTACCTATTCTACTTTGAAAATTCAGAACTTCACTGCAGTCAATTAAGAAAGAAATGGTTGTGATTTTGACATCACTTTCACATATTTTATTGACAAGGATTACATCTGTATTCTAGAACCTATATTCATAAAGGACTACTTCAGTGTTCTTCATAAATGTTATGGAGTTATAAGAAAACTGCATTGTTGTAAGGATGATGTCAGAAGTCTAGATTTCTATACAGCTGTTAGTGTTAAAGTAAAGGTCTTAAATACAGTTCCTTTGTCTCCGTATACAATTTGTATGACATGTAAAGAGAGTCATGTATCAAAGCTGAGATGCTCTCTCAGCTTTTGATGTATTTAATGAGAGACAGCCCCAATTACTAATCTTCTAACACCCACAACTGATCTTCACTGCTTTCTGAACTACTTCAACATCTCCTGTCAAAGAAATTCACGATCAAGTTAGAAGAGACAGGGGAAGCCTTTTTTGTGCTCCTTTGCCTTTTCTGTGAAGAGTTAGAGAGATGGTTTTGAAGATTTTAAAACCAGAGATATTTCAAAATTCTCTTTTAAAAACACTAATTTGTGGAGATATTATGGAAAAGAAAGCTAGTATGGAAAGAGAGAAAGACGTACGACAAGCCTCTTCACTACTACTTGTGTTGGGGAAGACCACGTGTCACTGGGGAAATCCTACTAAAATTGTTTTTCCTTTGCAGATCTATAAGAAGAAGTTGAATATGAACAAACAGATTATGTCACTGAGGGACTGGAAGGTTTCTATTATTGAAGAAATCAAGTGTTTATTGCAAGAATTGAAATCCGTGCAGGCAGCATTAGATTTATCAGAATGTCTCCCCCTACCCCCGATTCCTCAGTTACACCCAGATGAAGTTCCAGAAAAAAGATTTGAGTATGACCATGATATCCTACTGAAATTCAAAGAGGAGCAGGCAGCCAAGGCAAAGCTTCAAGAACAATTGGAAGAGTCTCCCTCATCTGTTGCATTTAGGCATAGTTTTAACAAGTCTTCCTATAAAGAAACTGGCTCTTTACAACAGACTGCAAGCTCACACACAATGAAAAGATCGTCGTCTATGGTCACAGAGCAGCAAAAGATTTTTGTAATTGAGAAAGCAGAGCCAACTGAAATAGAACTGGAAATTTTAAAGAAGGAGAAGATAAAAAACCTGTACTTGCAGAAGACCTTAATTAATAAGGTAGGAAAACTTTTTTTTTTTTTTTTCATTTTGAACAATCTCACTCAGAAATAAAAGCCCTTCCTTCTTTTTCAGAACTGCAGCTACACTGCTTATCAAAACTTCTGGAAAGTGCTATCTAGTGTAAATCAGTATAAACTTGTAACAGCAACCTCTGTTATCACTTGAAAAACAGACCTTAGTTTTGTGAAATTCTGAACTCAGTGGCAAAAAAAAAAAAAAAAAAAAAAAAAAAAAAAGGAAAGTAAAATGTAAGAAATTATTTCAAAAGTGATGAATAGAAAAAGTGAAATATCACTGCAACTTCATGGATTCGTGGATTCAGCTGTTCACAAACATGAGTTGTGTTGACCCTCTGGTTTCAAAAATGGTTTTAAACCTACAAGGGTCACAGGAAAGCTTCCTTAAAACGCACATCTATGTGCAGAAGGCATAGCATGATTAAGTTGACTTGACAGAGAGAAATTTTCCCTTATGCTCCTTTCTGTAGCTTTATATGTTTAGCTCCAATCCTAACACCTTCCCTGTTACTCATTTGCCTCTCTTATGCTCCAGATCAATGCACTGGTAACCAACTTTGATGCTGAACTTCGCTTTCTGCGACATAAGAAACTGCAGCTAGATGTGCAGATGAAATATGCTGACTTGAGCTACATCACTTGGTTTGAAGAGCTGCTTATCCTGAAGAATGCTGAGAAAAATGAGAGCATTCTCCAGGGGCATGTTAACACCCTCCAGAGTGAGCAGGAGGCCATGCAAGTATGTAGATTACGTGTCTTTGCAATTAACAGTACTGATAATGAGTGGCCTAAGCCAGAAGGAAGATGTAAAATAAACGGGAACTTTTCTTTGCTTCCTTTTTGCACTGATCCAGCATCTAGTGCCAAATTTTGGAAAACAAGAAACTCTCAATCATCAACCATGATAGTAGTTTTAAACTTTGAATCATTAATCTTTTCACAATCTTCATGATGTGGAATCAGCGATAAGTCATATTCATTAAGAAGTTTCTTCTAAGTTTTGCTTGACTGGAGCGTGGGTTCAGAGTGATAATCAAGTGTAGCATCTCCAGATCTTCATTGATACGTTCTATCTACATTAAAGATAAAAGTTTGTGCCTTTTGACTAAAGAAGGTTTTTTTGTTGTTTAGTCAAAACTGAACAGCTGCCTTGCACAGATGGAGGATAAAAAGTCTGAAATTGTAAAACTTCAGGAATGTGAGAAAGCTCTTTATGCCAGCTTCCAGGCATCCCTTGGAGAAAACAATGAATCTGCCCACTTTTTGACCAAGGTTCTGATGAAAAAATTCAGCTCCATAAATAGAAAAATAGAAACAGGTTAGAGATAATTGTTCCTGTCTTTTGGATTGTTTACACATACTTCCATGCAGTAAAATAAATGTGCCTCAGTCTATCTGGAGCCCTGGGTACTTGCAACACTAAACACAGTTCAAAACACCAAATAGATTAGACCTACCCAAGTTCTGGTTTTGTACCAACCCATATTTTGTGGGAGCCATCCTGAATGATGACGATGGTAATTCAGTCTCTAACATAATTACATTTGGTCTGATCACAGCTCCTAGAATGTACTTGCTATATGTCAATACTGAGGATTGATAATTAGTATGAAGAAGAGGCAAAGCTTTAAATAGCTACTTCCTATGCTGAACCAATTGGAGCTAAGGAAAAATGATTAATCTGCCACATTCATAACATTCTTCTTTAATCTGCCTATTGATTAATGTGAGATCACAGACCTAATCTGCAATAATCTATTAGTCACAAGACTAAACAAATTATGAAAGGATTTAATTTATCTCAGGTTTTAATCTGTAAAGGCCTAAGCAGTCTAACTGAATTAGAATGCCTTGGCTTTTGCTTTCACCTGGGACATGGTTACCAAAAAGCACAGACAACAGTTATGTTTTTGTGACAGTTTTGTGCTTCTGTGTATTTTGCTTGGTTTTTTAATCTCTATAGTAGAATGGTAAACCTATAAGGTTTAAATTCCAAATACTTAATACACATACAAAGAGGAAAAAATCATAGAAGAAAGTCCCCAAAATATGCCTATGTGTTTTAATGCATTTGGCACTACAAAGTGATCTCTCTCCCACACTTTTTTTTTTTTTTTTTTAATTTCTGTGAAGTTATCAAATCAATGCCATAGTTGAAAGGTGCCTGAATCTGTGTATTACTAAGGTGATCTTGTGTGCATTACTGGGGATGTGTTCACTAGCACATTCACATAATGCACAGCTAGTGGATTTGGGGGCTATCCTACAAGTCTGCAATACTGTCATTTTCTTTCAGATGAAAAAGATGAGAGTGAAGAGGAGAGTGATGAAGAGTCCAGCTTGGAGAGTGATGAAGAAGATTCTGGATCTGAAGAGGAAATCTTTGATATCTCTGTTTGCCCAGAGAGTAGCTAAGCTGTCATTTCCTTGGGTTGACTACTTGTTCAGCTTTAGAGCAGTGCTGTGTTTTTAAAAAGGAATTTTTTCATTATTCTCTTCACATTAATGCAAAAGAGGGACAGAATGTGTGCAGTCCTGGCTGCAGCACTTCTCCCCAGGAAATCTCAGTGAAGATAAGGAAAACGCTGATGGTATAGGGTACCATAATTAAAAAGTTTGGAAAAATAAATCTTAGCTAAGTGCTAAGAATTAATTATTTTGTGTGAAGAACCATTTGCCATTTCAGAGCTGCTTTCTGGGGAGAAGAGGCTTCTCATAGGAGTAGAGCTGGAATGAGGCTGTAGTTGCTCTCTGGAAACCTGCTGCCAAGCCTAGCTGGATCCCTGTTCGGGGAAGTTATGTGGGGACCCTACTGCAGTGTTGAATGAAGCTCTTTGTTACCACCTTGTGGTTTTATGTAGGAATTGCCTGTTGCTAGGCTTCTCTCTATTTGAAAGAGTAATAGCATTACTTTGCAAAATTCTCTTGACTCATTCATTCATACAGGAAAGGGAAGCAATCTCTTTTTTTATTTTTTAAGATCTTTGAGTGACATATTTGTGACCACTTAACAGCACTGCTTTATTTTCAGTTCAAATTTACCAGCAAGTTAACACATCTTACTTTTTTTTTTTAAATAGAATTTTTATTAACTCCTTGCCCATCTCTTTTCAATGCATTATTGGAAGTACAGAACTTTTACTTTTTATTGAAAAAATCCAAATTACTCATTTAATGGGGACATGACATGTTGCATTAACCTCTTCATATTTGTGTCTTTAAGTGTAATTCTTAGCCTTTATCAGACTTTTTTATTAGGAACTGATTAGTGTTTTGTGTTGACAGTGCTGAATTGACTGGTATGACAGGCACCACTGCACCAGCTAGAACTTTGCAGGTCCTATGAACCACAGCTTTCTTTACAAGTAGATCTAAATCCCCACAAGAAGATCACCACAGAAAGTCCATCATTTATAGTTAAAGATGCTAAGGATAAATATCTACATGTTCACATAACTAAAGATTGTACTCTAAAATGTTAATTACTGGGACTAACTTCACTACAAAAGCCAACTTTTGCTTTAATGCTGGCTTTGGTGTGTTAAGTTTTACTTCTGAAAACAAAATGTCTTGACTGAATATAAAGAAAAAAGATCCATCCAAGACATTGGCCCCTTCACAGAGGAACTTGGTCCACAGGGCTTTTGTTTGAAAAAGCCCTAAGGAACCAAGGGCATTATAGAGAATGCTGGGCAACCTGCACTGTCAGGGAAACTACTTACTCAAGCTTGAATTTTACTGTTATAACAAAACTAAGCTATCTTCTGCTCCTTTCCTTCTCAGACTGTGATAAGGCACTCTTTCAAAACACCATCCAGCTCCGGGAAAAGCGGTTAGACATTAAGGAAGCTTTAATAAGGGAGAAGAAAGTTGCTGCTAAACTCAGAAAGGAATATGATGTCTTATTCGAAAAGGTATTGTAGTGTTTTGTTCTCAGCAAGCATCAGCTGGCTCCAGTACAATGAAAATGTGCTATTGATTTTGGCTCAGACATAAAAACATAGTCCGAACCTTTTAAGAGGCCTCTGTTTGGGGAGATATCTCCATGCTAGCACACAGGCAAGAGGCAGCTCACTATGGGTCGCCTGTCCTCCTGAAGAAGGCAAATCAAGTTTGTCTTAACTGCTAGGGGACTGGACCTAAGTTTTAGATTCCTCACCTAACAGAAGCCAGGCTCTGTGATTCAGGTGGCACACCTGGTGTAGCCTGGCCCCCCCTGTGTATATGTGATGGGGATGGAGAATATAAAGGGTCATCCTAACTCAAATGCTTGCTAGAATACATGCGTAAAAACGCTCCATTTCTAAGTTTCTTTTGCTTTTAGTTATTTTCTTCTGCTCTTTGTCATAGTAATTATTGAATAAACTCACTTGGTGCGAGTTTTCCTTTCAGCTTTTATGAGGTCCTGCATTCGTCAAGACATTTGATTTATATTAAATCAAAAATATCTTAATTTAAAGGGCTTTGTGGGATAGACAAGGAGTTCTGCCAAAATGCCATTATGCAAGGCTTGCTTTTATTGTGTCTCAAAAATGTCCCATCAAATAAGTTTAACTTACAGCGCTTTTTTGTTTTGCTTTTAAAGGCTTTCCTACGTGCCAGCTGCCACATATTCACCCTGGGGTCTGACATTTGATTCTGAATTGTTTCTCATGCAGAATCACATTTCCAGGCATAAAACAATAAAAAATATCTTGCAGACACTGTTGATCTAGAAGTGTTTTGTATGTACATTAAACAAAACATCTGTCTCAATACATAAGTAGCTTCACAAGTTAGAAGATATTTATGAAGATACCTGTGTAAATTATTTGTCACAGAATTCTGTTTGAATACATAGATGAGCCTCATGTTAACCTATCAAACTCATCTACCATAATCTGAACAAAAAAAGAACATTTTTTTCCATGCTTCTTTTCCTTCAGGTCAAGAACTCTAAGACAGAACCCTGTTGTCTGCATATTTGAATACTATAGGATTTTTGTTTGTCCACGATTTATCTTTCTGCAGGCAAAATCAATAGAATACAGTCTGAACACAGCAGAGAAGGAACTGGACATCTTTCAGTGGGAAAAGCAGCAGAAGCTGAATGACTTATATGTAGTTGTGCCTTTGAAACTCCATCAGGTAATTCAAGATTTTGTGTGTTTATCAGTTTTACCTTTGGCAGGTGCAAATGGCCTATGTATATCTAAACGGTGGTGTCACTGGCTTTTGAGGCCTTTGATTTCCTGATCCACTATTGTCTCTTGGAATGACAATGCCATTAATTGAACTTCATGTTTCCTCTGGGTTTGTTTTTGCTCATATAAGGACAGGTAGAGTCAGTACACTGATTAAATGTGTGTAGCTTTCAAGTGTTTTACAGGTTTGGAATGGAATATTCCTTCAGGTCTATGCCTACTAATAATCTCTTGAGAAAAACAACAACAACAACAAAAATAACAACCAACACAATAGAAACAAGCAAACAAAAAACCAACTATTGAAAGTAATGGGAGTTTTGCCCAATTAAAAAATGCTGGATTGCATGCAATGCATTCATCTATGCAGCTGTTATCCCAGGGATGATAAACAGAAAATGAAGGGAAAACTCCAGACAATGCTTTAATTTCCCCTGGGTTGAATCTTGTCCTCAGAGAGATAGGCCTCTGCCTGTTGTGACTTGTACGCTTCTGAGGCAAGCTCAGCATCTCTATCTTTTGTTTTATCTACTCTCATTAAAATGTTCCTAAAAAAGACAGAAGAGTCCCAGACTCTCAACAGGAGTCCCCCACTCCATTTTTGTTCTCAGTATTATAGAAGAGTAAACAGCTTCATACATAGGAAGCCCTCATAGCTCTAAGTAGTCTTTGAGCTCTGCTGTGTGATAGTGATTCCCTGGCCCCAAACATGAGAGTTGTGCCCATGCTATTTCCTCATTCATTAGTCTACAAACTCTCACACATTTTTTATCCAGAACTGTCAACAGCACCCTAAACAACTCAAGTCAGCCCTGCTTATGGCTTTTTCTGGCAGGTGGAGTACTTCTTTAATGGGGAGATACCCAGGGACTTCTCCCAGGCTCTGGTATTTACCAACCAGACCCTAGAGTATCTGCAGAAGAGAATTGTGGACTTACATCATGAAAAGCTAATGCAGAGAAAGATTTATAAGAAGGCCCAGAAGCAACATAAGCAGCTTGTCCGGGACAAAAAGGAGATGGAGATGACTATTCAACGTGAGTAACAGACTTCACACAGCACAGGTTTCTTGTTTTTCACTGGCTGTGACTAAGTCAGCAGATCTGTCTTTATGCTCACCCAAATGTCACAGCTGGTTACTGCAGAAAAAGTGTATCAAGTGGACTGCTGGTTGAAGTACTGGTTGTTCTCCAGCACTGTAAAATCATTAAGCTGTGATATGTCAGCTTTAAAAGCATTTTCTTCCTCGTGTAACATAAGAAGAATTAAAAACCTCTATATTCAAAACATATACAATCCCAAGAACCAGACCCAGATATATTGAGGTGTCTACAACCTCTGAACCTTCTCTGCCAGCCCCGCTGAGGCTTTGGTGTGGGGATGGCTCACTAGGATTAGCTGAATGTGGCTTAGTGATAGCTCAGGTGTGGTCACAGGCAAGAACAAATGGCAGTATTCAGTTGTGAGCTCTATGTGAATTCATTTTAATTATTTATTATGGATCATATATGACAAAGCTCAGGCAAAAAGTTGGGGATACGGAACAAATTCTTATTAACCCATGAAAAGCAGTTCTGCCACTTGTGCCATGCCTCTCCTTTTAGATCTGGAAGAGAAATGCAATCAGCTGATGATGCTGAAGTTTGGTCGTGTGGTTGATTTTGAAGCAGTTCAAGCACGCTCTGTTAACATACGCTTGGAAGAGCTGGAATTGCAAATAATAGAGAAAGAATATGAGCACTCCCAGGAAATCAAAGAGTGTATGGTAAGGTACAAGAATGGGAGAAGGATGTATGTGTGTTCTATTAAGTCTTCATTTGCCTGGGGCTGAATAGCTACACTAAAGCTTTGTAAACATACTCATTTTTGTTTGTTTTTTTCACCTGTCACCAACAGGTGTCACCAAAATGTCCAACTTCCATGTCCCATCATGACTCCTACCTTTGCTCTGCTGCCGCTGCACATCTTATTTTCTTATGGAGGCAGCTGATTACATCTTTATTTTTAAACTGGCCTCCAGTGCATTTTTCTGTTTCAGTCCCTATGTGAGGTTGTCAGATTGCAGCTGGCGGTCAGTATCTATTGCCTGCTTCCATCATATTTGTTGATGAATTATTTGAGTACAGTGCACCTCTGGCTGATGCCTGGGACACTAGACTGTGCAGCATGAAAAGTGCATGCCTTCCTGTGATACCTAAGGCTCGGCTGCTATAGTGCAGGCAAGCTGTCCTTACAGAATGCTGTTCTTTCCTGACACTTTAAAAATATGTAGACAGAAAAATTAGAAAGCAAGAGTATCCCAGAAGAGCCAGAAAATATCTCTATGAGTGAGTATCATGCCTGATTTTAATTCGTTTGACTAATATTTCACCTTTACCCCTCCTAATAGGTTTTGTGATTTCTACTTCTTCCTGTTAATGTCAGTTGTCAACATGCTTTGGGCTTACTTTTTGCTGTGAGAAATGCTCTGCTCCTTAGAAAAGTTAGTCTGGTATCCTTCAACACATACATCAAGCATACATCTGGATATGTTGCAAGGTTTGCATAATGAACTCCAGAAAGTAGGTTTGTTTTGTAAGGAACTGTGCTGCCCACTCCCATGCATGTTTGCACAGCATAATACCTCATGAAAGGAGAATGTTCAGATCTGCAGTTCTTTGCTCTCCTGATTGTCTTGTGTTTGTAGCTATGCAAAGAACCCATGTCTTCCTCCTCGATTTGGGTAAGAAAGCTGCATTTCAAATTGGAAACTCATAGCCTTAGCCTCCTCTGACTTGTCATCTGTGCAGGCTTGTGGCAGGGGTAGGTGCCAGTTTCATACCTTATACACAAATGGATTACTATGTGCTTAACAGTCTTCCCTTTCCCATACTCTTGCCTAACTGCTTTGCCAAAATGCTTATTTTCAATACTAAGAACAACAAACAAACAAACAAACAAACAAACAAACAAAAACAAAAAAAAACAACAACAAAACAGATTGTATGAAAGGTATCATAGGATCACTTATATGCAGGATCAGTTTGTTGTTTCCCTCTCTTCTATGATGCATATTCAGCCTAGCCCTTGTTCCCTATTTCATCCTTCTTCTCCTCACTCATCCTCGTTGAACTTTTTATTTCTTTCTAGAAAAGAATCTCAGACTTACAACAGAAGCTAATGATGCTGACAAAAGAAAACACCATAAAGGTGAGGCAGCTGAACCAGTTCTGCATTGAGAAGCAGCAGCTTGAAACTAAGTTGGATTCACTGAAGGATGATCTGGTAAATTTCCTAGCTACTGTACTACATGCAGGTTTGGGACTGTTTGAAAGCTGAAAGGGGCTCATCCAGTCCTCACCATCTCCCTGGTCAAAAATCCTGCTGTGCAATCAGTCATTCAGGCTGATATTGCATAGGGGCAAAGGCTGAATGGCTGCTCCAGGTCTTCTCCAGAGAGGAAGATGGATGAACTGATCCTGAAGTAGGCCACACTTTTAACTTCTCTGTTAATTTCTTGGCTGCTTTCTAATACTGAAGCAAAGTCATCTTATTTCTAATCAGAAAATGTTTTGCAGAAAGTCAAAATTATTCCTTTGATACATGGAAACAGACAAATGAGTTGTTTTCTTTCTCTCTATTAGGGAATGAAGCAGCCATTGTTAACAGACTGAGCCAAAGATAAAGGCCTATTACTCTGTCTTCCAAGTAGTTCTGACTGAGGAATGGAGCAGTCGCTGTCCCACTTCTTGGAATGCTTCACTTTCCCAAATGAAATAAATTCCACTGTTAATTCTTGCATTTTTCTTATAGGTGTAATTTTTTTCTCTCCTTACAGGGAGTAGAATTTCAGGGCCCCCGAACTGCTGATATGAAAGAGAAGGCGAGGATGGAGTCACAGCTGAAATGTTTGGCTCATGACGAAGCCATCCTAAGAGAAGAAATCAATCTTCTAAGCAGAAAAGATGGGCATTTAAATGAACAACTCAGTCTCTTAACCAGGAACAATCAGTTTCTACAACCTTCATCACCACAGGACTTGGAGGCACCAGATGAAATATTCCCTGTTCTTAAACCATGAAAGGTAACTAGCAGTTCAAGTGTCCCTTAAAAGCAGACACTGAACTATGGCAGTAATAATACTTGTAAGTGTGAAATATACAGTTTTGGTTATACAGGGGTTTCATTGTAAAGGATTAAATTTGTTTCCTTTATCCAAAAGTGGCTGTAGTGGTGGGTAGGGAATTAAATGTGCAATTGCAACCAGTAAATGATGTTGTTGTCAGTCCATTGCAGAGCTTTGCACAAAAGAGATGCTCTGTGTATGTACGTGCACATGCCTGTTATTAGCTCTCAGTACAAAATGGCTTTTGAAGGCTGGAAATGAGAATGTTTCACGTGGCCAACTGTATCTATAGCATCTAGGTTCTCAGTAGTTGGTACAGGAGGTCTGTCTTAAAGGTGCGTCTTGTTGAACATTCCCACTGCAATAGCAGTTGTCTCTTAACTGAGTTAGGAATATTGTAGAAAGAGATGGGAAGCACTGTGTTTGGGGAAAGCAAGGAGACCTTTTTCCTCAGGGCCTACAATGCTAGAAAGGTATGGCACCAGTGAGAGTCTTGACCCTGCTCTGTGGAGGTGGGAAACTGAACTCCAGTGCAGGATGCACCATTTATTTGGAACAAGAAAACTATAGCAAATGTGAAGTCAGTCTGTAATTTCACTGACTTGCATGCACTAGAGAGTAGAGCTAGTCTTTGTTTTATGGTTTTAACCTTTCTAATTTTTCCTCTTGCATTTGGGATGTTGACAGTGAGTGATCATAGACAGTGCTTACTTTGTCTCATGTGAAGTTTCTTTAACCTTCAAGTGGAGGGGTTCTGATGCAATGTTCTTCCATTGCAAAGTTTCCAACAGCACACAGAGCTTTGGGGTTGGCTGCTCTTTCTTAATTAAAAAGCTCAAACAACCTGCAGCTGGTCTTGCTTCTTCTGCCCTCTCCCTCCCTGGTCATTGCTGTCTGGCACACCTTCAGCCAGGATCCAGCTGTGTCCCAGCGAGGCACAAAAACTGCTACTGTTGGCCCCATTACAGGCAAACGAATGGTATTTGTGCTGCCTGTCTTTTCAGTGACTCACTGTGAAGGTGCCGACTGGGGGCAGATATTTGGGTGTCCTTCCAAAATCTCATATAGCTATCCTTAGACGTAAATGAAAATTTTCCCTGGCTCTGCTCCCCATGAGAGGTTTTATATCACTTAGTTGGCATAGATAGCAGCCAGCCCTCTTCTCCTCAGCTCAGCATTGAAAAGTTTCACATAGATTAGAGGAAAACTGTAACTGCAGGAAAGTGTCAACTTCCCTCAAGTGTCAACTTCCCTCAGGAGTCCTTTTTGCCATGTTTCCGCAAGGAAAAAGAACGTAGATTCATTCTGTGGAATGTTTTAGTACAACCAGCCACAGAAAACACGTAAGCCTTTATTTTAGTTGTTAAAGCATGGGTTTGTCTTTACAGATATGCAGCTGCAGATGGCGTCTATGTGAAAGTTTGTTTACGTTGATTAAGCAGAGTGCATAACTCCAGTCCACTCACAGGAGTGCGTTCTTGGGACATGCCTTCCTGTGGGCAAGGAGAAGCCCTCACTGCAGGAGGCTGATTGATCTTGGTGGTGGCAGCTTCATTTGGACCCATGTCTTGCAATATCCCTTGTGCTGCTGTTTCTATCTTGTGCTCTGATGAACAGCCCAGTGCCACAGGTAGCTGCTGCTTTGTTTCTTGGGCCCTCCTGTTGCCTTGCTGAAGATGCCTTCTGTCTCCATAGCATTATAAAAGGCACATATACATCTATATACAAGTGCATAAATATATAAATAGAGGTGTTATACAAAAATAAATACCCATTCTTTTTTTCTCTTTAGAATAAGTCTTTTGCAATAGACAGCTTAGCCCCTAACTGATAGGAGAGTGAGTCTCTAAGGGCCTCAGCGATAGTGAGCTGCTGTTCAGATGTCCTGGTAGGTCCTGACTCAAAGATGTGAGCACTGGAGCCTGGGGATGGAGGTCTCCTCTGGACTGGCAGCAGTCTAGTCTTTCTACTTCTTCCACTGGCACTAGGCCTAGGCAGAAAGGGCTTCCTGAAAGGCAGAGGAGCGAGAGAATTAAAATGTGTACAGAAATGAGAGATACTATGATAGCTTTCTAGTCAGCACTCCACTTTATGAGGATAGATAGTCTGATCAAGGACCAAGAACTGCATTCTAAAAGTCCTGGCTATAGGGGAGTTTACTCCTATGCTCATATGCAATGTGTTTGATCCATCCCACAGGAGGGATGGATCAATAGATCGTATCCTAGCGGGATGGATTCACACAATTTTTCAGGGACCTTGGCGTTTGACCAGCCTGGAAGATGTAAGCTGAAGAAGGACTAAGTGATTATTCTCTGCAACTGCAGATGGGTATGCATCCTTCCAGCAGCATATATGCCGTGCTTATGGAGAAATGAAAAATCTGTTGTTTAAAAGTGGCCCAGGCAATTTACAATCCCAACTGCTACTGTGGCCTTGCCATGCTATTCTAAAAGTCAGTCCTTGCACCACAGAACTCAGCACGAACAAAGCCATCAAGCCTCCTCTACAGTGAAGTTTTCCTTCAAAACCAGCCCAAAACAAGGAGATGAAGCAAGCACTGAATTTTCCAGACCACTGACCATGGTGGAACAGTGGATCTCGTCGAGGATCCAAACTAGGACCTCCCACTTTATTGCCTATTGCTGGATGATGCAGGCCAATGAAGTGCTCTTGAAGGTGTGGACAGTCATCTTGTGGCTGGAGAAGTTGGTGAGTGGAATCATCTGGGAGGCTGTACAGGAAAGAGCTGTCTTCTGGTCTTGAATTCGGCAATCTAGGGAGGCAGACAGACAAAGAAAGAAGTTCAGCACTATTCACATATTTCCTCCTTGAAAGGTATGCTTCCTGCAACATTTCAGCCAGCTGCACTGATAAAATGACAAACCATTTCTAAATGAGGAGAAATATGGATATACTTGTGGAGTGGAAATGAGGTGATGCGAACTGGTAACTGTGATTCAAAACCTGGTGAGTGCCACAGAAGCTTGGAGGAGTTATGCCTCCTGGGGAGCATGGGAATAATGACATGGCATCTGAACATGAGACACTAAGTGTCTGCAACTCACCAGATTCTGGACATCTGTTTATCAGCATCCAGCCACAGACATTAGTCTGTCTCATTGTACTTTCCAGTCTACGCTTAAGAGCACAAGGAGAAAATGGGAGAGCCATCTCTAAAGTGAAATCACCTCTCTTTCAAACCATTAGAAGAATGAGATGTGTGAAACGAGTTTAAACCAAAAAGGCTAATGCTGGAGCATAGGTTTGTTTCCCAAGTGAACTGGAACAGACAAGGGCATGTTTGCACAAGCCATTCTAAACATGTATTTCAGCAAGCCCCACAGGATTGACTGTTTCATCCTTCCCCTTAGTAAGCCAGGACCAACCTGGTGGGCTGGTAGTCTCGCTGGGCATTCCCATTTTGCAGCACTCTCGCCTGCAGCAAGGCATTGGTCTCCTCATGTGACTGGAATGAGAGAACGGATCTTAGCAGAGCAATGACGTAAAGCAGCAGTAAGAGATTGGTGCTGATTTCTAGCAGAACCTGAACCACAAGCCACAATAAGTTCTTACAACAGAAGGTGGAAAGAGCTGGAGCTGTTTCTTTTGTTACAGAGTAGAACGAAGCACTGAAAAACTCAGATTACTTATTGCTGTATCAATGGGTCATGATAACCGATTTATACTCTCTGTTGTGGACTGCATTTATTTTACTGTGTACATACAGAATACTCAATATTGCCAGTCCCTGGGTGCTTTGCTCAGGAGAAACAGAAACTGTTTCCACTAGGAGTAGCCTTTGCTCACTGCCTCCTTCTGCCTGAGAGCTACTGCCCCAGGATGCCACCTCATCACAAGCCACTGGGAGACCTTCCTGCTCATCCAAGGTCTCATGCAACTTCACTGCAACAGGGAAACTTCAAAAAGGAGCCAGTTTTGGCACTTCTATGTGCTGCAAAAAGTGTCAAGCGTGTCTGGAGAAGTCCTCCCACTGCAACCATGGCCGTGGCTCGGGTCAAATCAGCTGTTAAATGTGGGTGTGGACATACCTGCTGCATGTCATCTGGACTGTAATCTTGGGTCTTTGAGGTCACATAGTCCACTCCTGCAGAGGGGCAGATGCCGTTCAGATGTGCCCCACTGGCATAGGGCTGCCCATTAACATAGGGATGTCCATTGGCACGAGGAGCAGAAATGCCCCTCAGGGGCACCATTGTGTACTGGCAGGATGACACCAGCAGTCCAGCTCCTGGGAAGCCCATGTCAATGGTTTGCTCTGCAGAAGGAAGAACAAGACTGAGCCAAAAGCAGAGGTAAAGCTGAGCTTCCTGAAGTGAACTACTGAAAATGATAGTGTTAAGATGTCCTAAGGCAGGTGTTTTGGCACACTAAGCATCCTCAGAAATAAACAATACAAAAGGGAAGGCAGTGCCCCTTTCCACCTCTTCTAAGTCCCAGGGTTCCTTCTTAACAAGGTAAACAAGATAAGGGATGAATGTTGGTCTTTACCTTGATGGGAGGGTTTCATTGGACATTTGGAACCTCTGCCACTCTTTCCCTGCTTCCCAGAATATGCAGGGTTCACGGTTTGGATGTTTGATCCAATTACATCCAGGATCATATCTAACCCACAAGGTTATATCTTGTAAATCAGCCCTCAAGAAAGGATCCTTACTCTGCTTAGACCAGGCTCTCCAAAGGCAAAAGGGGATGAAGGCCACAATGAGGAGTACAATAGAGCCCAGCACGACTCCTACAATCAAGTATGGTAGGTCGCTGGAACGGGCCACCATGGCTCCTGTCCCCAGGCCACTGTGTCCACCGCTAAGTGGGGGATGCTGCTGAGGGGCCACTGTTGAGGGTGGAAGACGACCCGGCAGACCAAGAGATTTTCGAGCTGTGAAAGGAAGAGACAGAGAATGAGAAACAGCCATGGCAGGAGGAAGAGCAGCACGCTTAAGAAATATGAGTACTGGTGTGGGTGTATGCACATACTGAGCAACAGCATAACCAAGCCTACCTGCCCTCTTCTGTCCCGTGCCAGAGCTTAGATGACATGCTGTCATGCAGAGATGATTCCTGCCTTGCTGTGCTCTGGACAGCAGCAGGCAGCAGGGACAGAGTGCTAAGCTCCCACATGTG